TTAACGCCCAAAGGCTGTGCCATGCTCGAAATCGATCTGCACTCGTGACGCTGGAGCGCCATGGCTGCCAACCAGCACATCGACCTTTCCGAGGACAACTCGGTTGCTTTGGTCAGCACCGTCATTGTCTTTATGGCCCTGAGCTGGCTCTCTGTCGGCCTCCGTAGCTATACAAGAGCCTTCTTGATGAAGAGTTACCAAATGGATGACTGGCTCATGCTCATTGCTCAGGTATGTCCTCTACTAGGTATCCGACCGAGCAGCTTCTCACCACTCCTCAGGGCATTTTTACCGTATCTTGCGCTTTTATCCTCGAAGGAGTGAAAGAAGGACTCGGCCGACACAATGAAGCTATTAAAGACGATGCGGCCGAGGTCAATGCTCTCAAGGTAGGCAACTTGCAACCAGAGTACCTGTTCATGGCGAATGCTTATGGTGTATCAGTGGCAAGCTTTGGCGACCGCGACTTATGTCCTCGACATGATGTTCATCAAGCTGAGCATTGGTGTCTTTCTCCTGCGACTGTCGGTCAAACCGGTGTACACATGGATCATCTGGATCAGTTTGGCCATCATCACCATCTGGAGCACCGTCATCTTCTTCTGGAACATGTTCCAGTGCAGTCCCGTCGAGAAGCAATGGGACTTTAGAATCACTGGTGGTCATTGTGTTTCTGCAGACCAGATCGTCTCAGCCGCATACGCCATAAGTGCTATGACTATTGTGTCTGACTGGCTCTATGTAAGTCGGACCTCCTCTCTATCTAGCAAGGACTAGACGTATTGACATGGTACAGGCAATCCTACCTATTCCTATGCTATGGACTGTCAAGATGACCAAGGCAGCCAAGGCAACCGTTATTGTCATTCTGGGCCTTGGTATTTTGTAAGTTATATTAGCTACTACTTCGTGTATTTCCGCTAACACCCCAAAGTGCAAGCATCGCAACGCTCGTCCGTCTACGATTCCTTGCCGATCTCACCGATACCGACGACATCCTTTGTATGCGACCCCCGGCTATGTTCTGGATACTAGCTAACCATCCTGTAGTTGCTGGCACTGATGCTATGGTCTGGACACTTATCGAACCAGGCGTCGCTATCATCGCATCTAGCTTGGCCACCATTCGACCCCTTCTCCGGGCTATGAAGATAAGAGGCTTCGAGTCCACCGGGAACACATATGGAACAGGCCATTCCGCTGCGATGCGATCCAACGCGAACCGATCCAAGCCTGGTGTCATGCCAGGTTTCGGCCCCAACGATGTCTCGTTGGTGAACGTCGAACCGAAACACGATACGATACGAAATATCCCGAACGATATCAACATCCCTTTACCCCCTCATAGGGGAGTACCCAACGGCCCTATGTCGCCCGGTCAAGTTAGCATCGTTAAGAGCGAGATCTTGGTCATCCAGGGCAACCGGTCGCCGCCTCCTTCACCCTGGCACGCCTCGGAACAAATTTCTTCACCGAACGATTCGTTCGAGCAAATACACGACCTCGAAGCGCAAAGCCAGGACATAGACCGATATGGAATCGGAGGCAGGAGATAATGGGTTTCACGATACGACACAATGCCGTCAACGGGCATACACTTTCTTCCCTTGTACACTGACTGTCTCACTACAAACAACAACAATCTTTGCGGGGGATCTCTTTAGATGGCTGGGGGAAAATGGATAAAGGCGTTGGAGAAAAAAGGCGTTGGAGAAAAAAGGCCTCGAAGCTGGGTTGCGCGATGGCACACGATACCAAATGGGTTTTTGCTTTGTATGATATTGGCTTGGTCCTCCTGGAGAGGGAGATCTATGGCTACCAAAAGCTGGGGTCCACGATGGCTACTGGCAGGACGCATTTTGACAATGCTGGCACGTTTTCTAACTCTTAATGTATTTATGACTGCATCAAACAAGACTCGCAAACTTCGTCGGAGCAGAGTCACAAAGGTCTTCTCTTGTGACACATACTTTGGTACATGCAACCACTCACCAACGAGTGACTTGATTGGTGACCAGGTTACTGCTTCATCCCCAAACATTTATTCCTCATCCGGCACGATACGGCATTTGAGATCCGTGTTTGAGCCCCTCTCTTTCATGCCGTTGCCTTCTGAGACAATCGCTGTTGGAGAAGTGTGCGGGTTTCGCGATTGCCGAAGAGGTCCGTGTACTATTGCATTGCATGACAGGGCGAGGGCTACGAAAATGCGATACACTGCACGACGTAGTATTTGTTGGGTATCTGTTTCTCTTTTTTTTTGTTTGGGTCTGCTTGTTCCTTGATATCCATGTCTTGAAAGCATACTTTCACGTAATGCTTTATGCGATACCTTTTACCCCTCCCGCGTTGCCAATCAGGCTCATCTCCCTCGTCCCGTCATTGCTGGATCGTTATGCATTATGTGATCTTGAGGTCCTCGGGAGAGACTTCCCAATCTTCCTCTTCATCCCAGAAGGGGGCGAGGCCGAACCGACCCATGATCTTGCCCATACCAAAACTCTCACCTCCGACGACACCTGGCCGGGGCTTCTCGTCGTTCTCCTCCACGATGACGGCAGTTGTCAAGAAGCCTGGATCTGGACTGGAGCCCATGTCAAGGAGGAGACCACCCCAGTCCAGGGTCGTGCGACCCGACTTGCGCACCTTGAGCTGGCCTATCATGCCGCCCTGTGTCATGAGGCTTGGCATGAAACCATGCTTGTTCTCCGGGTCGTCGGCACCGTTGTTGAGACCGGATGAAACCAGATCCTCCAGTGTGAGATCCACGGGGTTCGCGTCAGTAGCGGCTGGCGTCGATTCGAGGACATTAGCCTCAGTGGGCTCGGGCTTTACCTTGCTGGCGGGTTTGGGCTGGGAGACCTGCTTCAACGGGGGCATAATAGGAGGGAATCGGAAGAGATACAAGCGGCCGTCCTTGTTGCTCGGTGCCGCCTTCTTGCCATCTTCGCCCTCACCCTCTGCAACCTCGATAGAGCCGAGTTCACTGCGAAGAAGCGCTAGGTCTAGATCGGCGAACTTGTCTTCTAGCTCTTGAGCTGTTGCCTTCTTGGACTTTGGCTTGGCTGCTGGTGTCTCCTCGGCTGGCGTCTTCTCCTCGGTTGGCTTAACCTTGATACCCATGTCGATAGAGTCGTCTCCTGGTTCCTTTTTGATAGTTGGTTTTGAGTCTGTCCAGGTGCCCTCTTCTCCTTGGTCGGCCGTCTGGGCCTCTCCTGCTCCTGCATCGTCATCCACCCAGAGACTCTCCTCCTCGCCAGCCGCAGCTGGCGCATTCTGGGCATTCTCAGCAGCTTCCAGTTCGGCTGTTGTTGCCACCACAACACCCTCTTCCTTGTGTTCTTTTCGGTAGATGCCCATGGGCAGGACACTGGGGGCGCGGGTGCTCAGGACATTCATCATGGCTTCGTCCTCGCTGTCGAGTTCCTCTTCTGGTGTGTGAACGTGGAGCTTATCGGCGTTGATTCGTGCCTCGCGGAACCGTGACCCATCAGCTTGAGCAAAGCCAGGCTTGGATTCTGACTTGAAGCCTCGTCCGAAGCCGCCGCCGCCACCAAAGTTGCCTCCTCCTCCTCCACCACCAAACCAGCCTCCTCCTCCGGAACCGCCTGAACTTGTTAGAAGGCCATCAATGGTGTGAGAAAATTCGCATCTGCGCCTTACCTGCTACGCCCGACGAGAAAGGGCCACTGGCGCCGGAAATTATTCGACCGAAACCACCTCTGCCCATGGCATCACCACGACTCCTCTTACTCCTGAACCGTGAGCGTCCTCGAGCTCTACGCTCATCTGCCTCTCTCTCACGGGCCTTTTGCTCTTCCTGGCGAGCCAGCTCCTCTCGTTCTGCCTCATCTCGGCGAATGTTCTTGGGACGGAATCGACCGACGGTGGCACCTCTGGTGGCTCGAGCAACGGCGGCGCCGCGGGTTGATGCGCTTCGAATGGCTGGAGTCGTGCTCTCTGAAGCTGCGGCAGAAGCTGCTGGGGCAGTTGAAGGGCCTGCGCTGCTCTCGCCGGTGGCAGCTGGGGCACGTTGGCCAGCAGCCGCAGCTCCTCGCCGGGTGCCCCGGGCAGGTGTCCTTCCGCGATTCATGCCCTAATATCTCGTTGACGGAGGTGAATGGTGCAATTGGGAGATGAAGTTGTTGTCGCAAGCAGGTTACTCATAGAAGAAGCTCTACAAAAATTTGGATGGATCTCGAATGCCAAGTTCAAAGTGGGGTGCGGGACAAGTGGGGGATGGCAATTCTGCCGTCGCAAGTGGTCACCGCCTTTGGACAATGCGCTAAACCTATCTTGGTTAAGCATGCTTTGGCGCGAAACGTCACAGGCACCAGCCACAACTCAGGCAGGAACAGGCTCTCAGTCAAATAGCTCTTCATTTTGGGCTGGAGATAACATCATTGTGCTGAGAGATCGGACTTCTGCACTGAAAATTACCTACTAATCAACAACCTCAACTCTTTGGCTTATCATATTAGTAATCCTTAGTAGACGATCTGATTCTTGAAACAAACCACCATTCTGGGCATCTGGAATGGCAGTTTCTTGGTCAGCAACCACACCATGGCCCTACCGCAGCTGCTGAAAAAGCCACCCTCGTAATTGTGCGACAAGCTCGCGGCGTTCGATAAAAATCTCTCTATTTCGAGTCACCAGTGACAGCCTTCGAACCTGCAGCTACGGGGCTGCTGATCGCCCTGATCCCTTTCAGCGCTCGGTTATGCCAGATTCGGAAGTGCGTCTGGGGTTCCATTGGTCAGCCTGTGATGTCAGCCTCCGACACCAAGTGGTTAATTGCACCGATGGAGCGGCCTGGTTGATGAGCCTCTGCTTTATTGCAGATGATGTGGTCTATATAAACTGTAGAGCCCGGCCGTCATGTTGGCTGTTGTTTCTCTATCCAAGTTTTGGCTGAGCCCAAGTTCAACTGGTTCCATACATACCTATCTATTTACAGGCTACCTCAGCCAAGTGACACTCTTCCATACACTACCATCATGGGAGCAAGCGAGTCTAAACACTCGGGCTCTTATTACGGCCCTGGCAAAGGATGGGACTATTCTGGCCAAGGCAAGCCAGCTCCTGGTCAAGTACCCGTCTACTACGGATCCCCAGGCTGGGATGGACAAGGCGGTCCGAATAACAGTGGCCAAACCTATGGCCAACAGGCTTATGGCAACCCAGCATACGGTCAAAGTTATGGCCAGAACCTCGCACCACCGAATCCTCCGCCGTATCCCCAACCCCCTCAAGGATACGGACAGCCCCCTCCAGGGCAACCGATGTACGGACAACGTCCCCAGAGCTCAAGTGGCCCGCCTCCCCATGGCTACGCACAGCACAGCCCACAACCGCGTCCTCAAAGCTATCCTCCCCCGAACGCGCCACCACAGTCTCACCAGATGGCACCAGACAGGCCGTTTGGTCTCTTTGCTTCCGACTTTATGATCTTCCTCGACGGGAGTAGCAGCAACAAGACCATGACTATCGGGAGACACCCCGGCGATGTACAATACCGCGCCGACATTAGCTTCGGTGCACACCACAAGATGCAACTCTTTCGAATGAACGGCATGAATCAGATGCTGATTGCTGGAGCAAAGGGAGTGGGCTTCACCGGCAGCAGGATCAATGTCAACTGGGCAGACGGGCGCTCCACCGAGATGAAGTCTTCAGACCCAAGCAAGATCAAGTTTGACGTTGGCGGCAACACTTTTCTATGGGTCAAGGCGGAGAAGAAGGAAATCAGCGGCATTCTTGGTAGAGAAGTGGGCAAGGGCTTCAAGCTTGTGCGCCAAGGCATGGAAGAAGAGGCACTCGCCATCTTTAGCCAGTCGGCCAGGTTTGAATATTCAAAGTCCTCGGGCTGGTTCTGCTTTGTCGGCCGTGGGGCATCAGGGCAGATGGGATCGGACTGGGCCAACATGGCGGTCTTGGCCATGCTCAAATTGTGGCAGATCAAGGCACTGTCCAAATTTGCTGAAATCACCGGAGAAGGGATAGGCGCGGTAGCGGGAGCTGTTGGCGGAGGATGAGATGAATGTTGTTGGATATCTGATAGGCGAGCGTGTACTGTGATATTCTTGTCTTTGGTATATGATGTAAATTGTAACATTATCATGAAAGCCATGTTGTTCATGTGCTCATAGACAGCGTGAATGGAGCCACCGATATCATGCCCGATCCTTGACTGGCAAGTTCTATCGAAGACACATGAGAGCCTGGTCACCGAATTGGTCGGCAATGCTCCCTTCCTTGACGATCATTGCTCCGATCCAATCTCTCCCAGCCTCCACAGTTTTCGCGCCGAACTTGACGACCACACAGCTTCGGACGTGTGCTGCAGACCAGAGGATACCACCCTGGGTTTCCTTCTCAAGTCTCTGCAAGCGCCAACGCTCATGGTCCGAGAGATTTGGCTCGCCCGCCGCCTTCGCTTCTGGTGACCGGAAATCCCTGGCCCCAATTCGAGGAAGTGCGGCAAACTCGCTCATGAAGAACTCTCCCAAGGACCCCATCTTGCTTCCACGTAAGATGAGAGTCCCGGATATCGCCAAGTTCTGCATCATGTCTGGGAGTGATCGACCAACAGACTTGCTCGCTTCTCTCGAGAGAATGATTGAGTCTCGCACCAAAAGCCTTTCGGTAGAGGCGTCACGTTGATCGCAGAGCCAGATCTCGTTGCGCCCAGACCATTTGTGGAAACTCCAGTTTTCTCCGCGGGCTGCACGACCTTGAGTCACCCAGTCCAGAAGACACAGCGAAGCCCGGCTCTTGAGTCGGAATATCTGTGTTTGCGCATACACACTGTCCTCGAACGGTTGGACAGGGTCCGGAAGAAGACACATGGAAGCCTCATCGTCGATAGTGACATTTAAATTCTGCCGCGTGGTGACATCTGCCGAGGGGGATTTGAAGACCTTGGTATGTCCTTGCGTAGCGATACTGAGTTTCGCTTTCTGTTTGACACGGACGGTCAAGCTGACACTGTCCCCAGCAACAAGACCGCCTCCATATGATAAAAGAAAGACCAAGATGCTTGGTTGAGTTGGTGAAGGCGCAGGAGAGATCAGTTTCAGTGGATACTGATAAGTCATTGCTTGGAGACCGCTCCCACCATCAGGCAAGAGACCAACGACGATGCGGCCATCACCGGGGGAGGAAGAGGACGGAGGGAAAGGCGATTCCATTTTGGAACCATATTGGTGATGTATGTGATTTAAGGAACGAGAAGGAATGAGTGAAGGGCCAATTTCATCTGATATAAAATATCTCCATCTTTATCATGAATAGTAGAAGCATTTCCTCTCAAGTTGAAACAAACAAGCCTTGATAAGAGTGCGTGGATTGTGGCTGGGGCCCCGCTTGTTCTGGGGCTGCCAAGTGCCAACTTGGAAGCGGAGCTTGGGCCAGTGGCTCAGGTGGCTCAGCTAGCTCTCCAAGGTCGTTAGGCACCTCCCCTCCCCGACGTTCATCCGCCATCTTCCAGCACCAGAAACCGCCCACTTTCCAAAATAGCTTGCGCCGTCATCCACGCGACATTCGACGCGCCAAGTGGCCTGCAACACCATTGTCGCCCCCGCATCGAGGGTTCAAGACTGCAAAGTCCATATACTCAATGTCAGCCTCGCGACTGCCTCTACGAGAGACCATGGACAATAACGCGACCCTCACCCCGACCCCCGATCCCGACGGCACAACGCGTCGTCGTTCGGGACGCGTCGTGAGAGCGCCCGCCAAGTTCACCCCCGAGCCCGCCACTCAATCCTCCAACACGAAGCGCAAGCGAGACGATGCAGATGATGACGAAGAAGACGAGGAGGATGCCGAGAATGAAGCGCCTGATTCTGACGAGGAGATGAGCGACGAGCCCGACAATGAGAGCGACGAAGACCACCCTGCGCCGCGCTCTAGGAAGAAGTCGTCGCAAACAAGTCGCGCAAAGAAGCCATCCTCCAAAAAGCCCAAGATCAATGGATCTCAGCCTTCGCGACCTGCGCGAGTTACCCACGCCGCCAAGAGCCTTCCCAGCAGGCCTAAGAAGACGGTTCGCATTGAGGAGGCGGCCGAGAAGGGAACCGGCCTTTTCGGTAGGCGCACTCTCGGCTTGATGCGCGCTTTTCCGATGCTAACTTTTCTCTAGCTGATCTCTTTGGTACTGGAGGAGAATCTGTCGAGTCGGTCGTCACAGAATGGGTGCACAAATACCGCGAAGACGAAGCTGCAGCCATGACGGACCTCGTGAATTGCATCCTGCAATGCGCCGGCTGTGACCAGGAGGTCAACGAGGACGACATTCGGGACCCCGAGAACATCCCCAACCGACTGATTGATCTTCAGAGTGTTTACCAAGAGGTACGGCCGTAACGCGCCTGAGGCGTTAGAAGTGGTGCTGACAAGATGACAGCAACAAATCACAGATTATCCTCTAATCTCTAGAACCAAGTTTACGCGGTCCTTCCGCGACATCCTAGTGAGCTTCTTCGAGGAGCTCCTCTTGGCCATCCACGAGGCCAACCTCATCTATCAAGATGAGAGTCTAATCGATAATCTTCACGCCTGGCTGGCCAGCATGTCTTCATCGTCTCTCCGACCTTTCCGCCACACCGCTACTACCATATCACTATCCGCTCTGACGGGACTGGTGAGGGTAGCGGACAGATTGGACGACAGAATCAGCCATGTCGGGATTCGCCTGCAGAAGGCCAAGAAAGCCAAGAGCAAAGTCATGGCAGCGGACCATCAGAAGGAACTGGACAAGAACAACAGCAACCGCAAGATCTGCAGTGAAGCGATTCAATCCTTCTTTGACACAGTCTTTGTTCATCGCTACCGAGATGTTGACCCCAAGATCCGAACTGAGTGCGTCGAAGCACTCGGAAACTGGATCCTAGGCTTGCCAAACGTTTTTCTTGAGCCAAGCTACCTCCGTTACCTTGGTTGGATGCTGTCAGATACCAACGCGCCGACTCGACATGAGGTTCTGAAGCAGCTTACCAAGGTTTTCAAGCGAGACGCGTCCCAGCTTGGCCACTTTATCGACAGATTCCGACCCAGGCTCATAGAGATGGCCTGCAAGGATTCCGAGGTCTTTGTTCGCGTGGCGGCAATTGGCTTGATCGACGTTCTTCGTGCCAAGGGCATGCTGGAAGCTGAAGAGATTGATGCCATTGGAAAGCTGATCTTTGATAATGAGTTCAGAATTCGAAAAGCCGTGGTCGGATTCTTTGTGGCGTGCGTTGATGAGGCCCTCGACTCGAAGCTGGAAGACCTCGGTGGCTCAGAGGTGATGGATGAGATACCCGCAGGAAAATACGACGATGCAAGACCACAGGATCCCTTTGACGCACCTCGCGCCGACTGGGCTGATCTCAAGTGCCTCGCTGAGACGCTCGCTATTTACGACAGTCAGATTGAGGAACACCATCAAGCCGCACAGAGCCTGAGGCTAGACGTCGCCGTGGATCTTTTGGAGGCAACAATCCCCGACACCAGAATCTCGTTGGCATCGCAGGTTCTCTATGAGAGAGTCGAAGAGATCAAAGACTGGAGGATACTGGCGGGCTACCTCCTCTACGACCACACGACCAGCTCAAGGTCAAAGTCCAGGGCCAATGATGCAGAAAGGGCATTCAAGAAGGCCGTCGCTCCCGCAGCAACTGAAGAGGCGATTCTCTTGGATGTTTTGAGCTCAGCAGTCAAGTCAAGCCTTGCCCAGGCTAGCGAGCACGACAAGGGGAGAAAGAAGCTGCAGACAACTGATGGGTTGAGCTCCGAAGACATTGCGCTTGAGCTTGTCAGTCTCATCCCCAAGCTCCTCAGCAAGTTTGGTGCCGAACCAGATACAGCAGCAATTGTTCTTCGTCTGGCTCATTTTCTCAACCTAGACGTCTTCCAGCAACTGCGACAAGATACCAGCAAGTATGAGAGTCTGCTTGATGAGGTCAGCACGCAGTTTAACAGACACGACGATAAGAGAGTCTTGTCCGAGGCGGCTACAGCTTTGCTGCATTCACGACAGTACGACGAACTCGAGGAGCTGACTGACGGCAAGCTCTCGAACCTCTGGGAAAATGTCGTCACTGCTCTTCACAACTTTGACAAGACGTGCGAAATCTCATCACGAGGAAACCTCGCCGAAGCACCTCTCAAGGAGCTGTCGACAGTTCTTCTCAAGATTAGCAAGTTGGCGAGCATCTCGGATTGCATCGACGTTCTTGAAGCTGAAGGTGGTACTGAGGAATCACCTGTATCACCAGTTATCCAGATTCTGGCCAACATCGTGCACCGGGGCAAGTACGAGCCTTTGGATGACGAGGACCTCGATGATCTCGAGGACGAGGTGGTTTCGTTCGCCATCAAGAGTTGCCAGTTCTACTTTATGTGGAAGGCCCGGGCATTCTCCAAGCTTCTGTCGTCTGGTGTGAATATCGCAGACGCTGATCTTGACCGCCTATCCGTGCTACGGCAGACATTCCGTAGACATCTCATCGAGACACTCTCATCTCGAGCTGCCATCGACCAGCTTCGACTATTTGCTACCGGAAGTCTTTGCGATCTCCATCTCACTTTTGCAAGCCTTCGACCAACGATCGAGCACTTCCGTCCTTCGTCAAGCTCCGAGTCAGAGGCGGCGACGGGTGGAGAAAAGTACAAGTCACTAATCCAGGAGATTGAGTCAGGCCTTGTGCCCGAATTGGTCGCCATTTTTGACGGCGCCGAGCGACAATACGCCAAGAAGTCAAAGAAGGACAAGACTCTGAACGAGCCAGCTGAGGATGAAGATCCCGTGGCCGATGACGAAGATGAAGACGAGGATGATGAGGACGAGAGCCTGTCTGACGAAGAGCGGTTCGCCGCCGAACTCAAGGCCGAAAAGGCGCTCTGTGAGCTCACGGCCAAGTACGTCCTCGCCATCACAGCGAGACTCGTAGACAGCCGTGGCGCCCACGCCGGCAAGCTACGGAGACGTCTACTCCGCAACCAACACAAACTCGGTCACAACTTCAAAGAAGTCGTCGCCTACCTCGACGAGGAGAAGCTCGCCGAGCGCACAAGGAAGAAGGCCGCCAGCGTCCAGCCCCCCTCCACCGCCGCCGTCTCCAAGACCCAGAAGCCGCAGCTCAGCGAGCCCATCGTCACCATCGGGGATGACGACTCTGGCTCGGACGACATCTTTGACGACACGCCGCCACCCGAGGAGGGCTCGCGGGAGGATCTCCGGCGCAAGGGCCTCCTTGAGGAGGATCCTATCGACGACGACGACGAACACGAAGAGGAACGACCAGCTCACGAATCAGATGATGAAGTTCTCGGAGATTAAAAGGCGAGGCTGTTTTTTGTTTTTGGCTTTTGCAAATGTGTAAATGGTGGACACGATGCTCTTTTTCAGGCGGGAACTATTGGACTTTTCTCTATTAACATGTTAAGTTGCGACTTTGTAGGCTCACTGTCTCAAACATGACCTCCCTTTTTTTTTTCTATTGTTTTCTGTGTTTCTATCAAGGTAGCCTCTCTTGGTCTCCCACACGTGTGTCGTCAGGGTTTGGAGTCTGGGTATGTGACCGAAGGAAAGCTCGCGGCGTCTAGAGATTGTTGTGTGTGCGAAAGAAAAGAAACCCTCAAGTCAAAACGTTTTGTCATTACATTTTCTATTCAGACAAGTTTCCTTTACGCCCTATTTTTTCCCCTGGTGTGTGTCCAGGTCAAGGAAATACCTACATGTACCTATGAGCGCCGCCGAAATGCAAAACTCCACGGCCCAAACTCTCTGGCTTGCCCATTTTTCCGTCCGTGAACCAAACAAGTACCGTCAGACTCCTAGCCTGCTATCCGTGTTCCAAAGAGATTGTACATTCTCTGCCAGCGCTTCCCTTCTCCCGCGTCGGCCTTGCCTGGATCAGACTCCAAAACCTTGACGCCGTATTGTCGAATACAGCATGCAAACGGCCGACTAGACACCGGCGTCTTATCTGAGTTCTTGGTCTTGCGAGGCTGCTCGTCCTCATCATCGCTGTCACTAGGGGGCTTCCCCTTTCGAGCGGCTTCTTGGGCTTCCCTCTTCTTAGTCTGGGCCAGACTCTTGCGCTCTTCCAGTTCCCCCCAGAGTGTGAATAGTCGATCGCGAAGCATTTGCAGATCCTTTGTCTCGTGCCTCAAGTTGGACGCATCGAGGCTGAGAAGACACTGAGCAGCGTGGTTATCGACTGCAACCCACATCCTCTGCTTGCTCTTCTTCTCAGGGACAGCAGCGTCTTCAAGCTCCAGGTAAAAGCGCCATTCCCAGTTGCGCTTTACTGCAAAGTTGTCCAAGGTACTCTGATCTGCATCTTCCTCTTCTTCTGAGCCGCTGCCAGAGAGGGATTCCTCTCCATCGTCCGAGAGGATGTCGAACTCTGTTTCTTTCTTGGGGCGGGCGAAATCCACGAGGTTCGAAGGGAAAAAGTTGACGACTCTGACATTGGAGCGGTAGTTGGTGTTTACAAAGGGCAGTTGGAGCTTCACATCCTGCCCGTCAATGGTTGTCTGGTGATACACAGGCTCAGTCATTTCAGCCACGAAGCTGGTGGGCTTGTCCATGTTTTCGCATTTCACTATAGGTTCAAGTTAGCAGATCAGAGTGTGACTCAAGGTGAAGCCTGGTATTACCTCGGGAGTTCAGGTCTGATATCTCAACAGGTTGTTCATCCTTCTTCTGGCTCAGCTGAGCTCGTGCACGTTTTGCTTTCCGTTTCGTCTTGGAATTCTCTTTTTTGGTTTCCGACTCGGTGGATAACTCTGACTTGCGTTTTTGGCCTACCTTGCCTGCCTCGGCTATATCCTTGATCTGGGTTTTCTTGAGGCGTTCGTAGTCTCGCTTCCTTCGGAGGGCGTCCTTCATATGAGGATTGACGTTCTCGGGGTCATCTAGAGTCAGTGGGCAGATGTTGAGTTTTGGTCCGCTGGCACCGCGGTCTTCTCTCAAGAATCCCTCCAAATTGGCGTTGTTGCGTCCCAATTTGATCTGCACGTTCCGGATAGACACCCATTGACCAACTTTGATGTTAGTCTCACGAATCACAGTGGCGTGAGGCTCCCAGCATGTCACTTGGACGCATCGTTTACCGAAAGGTCCTGTCCAGTTGGAACTGGGAGTGGAAGAAGTGTCCATGAACTTGTCGGTGTAGCCATACGGATCGCCGTCTCGACCTCCAGGGAGATCCCCATTGTAGCTGAACTCATAAAATGAGTCGTTCTTAGTATAGTCGGCAACCCAAAGCGTCACCTTATCGCCCATGTCGTAGGGAGGCTTGACGATCTGAACCACCATGTCGCAGAACATGCCATCCCTGACATTCTCGAGGAGGTTGAACTTGTCTTTGACATTTGTTGATGTGAGCACCATAGTCTCGAATTCGACTTCTGTTGGGAGACGGTCTTTGTCGATGCTGTGGTACATCTGAGAGACAAAGGCATTCTCCTTGTTATCAGGAAGTCGGTCCTTTGATTTGATAGGATGATGAAGTGCGACCGAGGCATCGGCTGGGGGCTTGGGAATTTTGGAGGCTTGGTATAATGAGATGGAAGTTTTCCAGTTGGTTATGAGCGAAGGCATGTCCATGTTATACTTTTGAACCTGGGAAGCCAGTCAGTGAGGATGCTGCCCGTGGCATGTGGTGGCACGCACTTTGGCTGAGCGAATGAGTACAACATCGCCACAGCCAGCTTTTGGCATCTCATTGCTAGGACGGAAAATGTTGAGACAGATGGAAGATTCAGAGTCTTGTTCAACTGAAGAGTCATAGATGCGAAGTTGACATTTCCAGTCTGGGCGCGTGTTAGTGTTTGGTGGGAAGAGGTGGTGATAGGAGAGAGCCTCACCAGTGCCTCTCGTTGGAACAGGAGCACGACAATCGACGATGACACCAACGACATTGACCATGGAATTTTGGCGGATCTGGCCGTCAAGGATATTACGAATCGAGACATAGCCCGGAAGTAAGGGTGGCGGCGACATTGTAGCTGACGAAGGAGCTGCAAGGCAGTTCCCGCATCACGAAGCAAATGACCGTGAATAAGAGGATCCCTGATTGTTTGCAGCTTTACGCGGTCGCGTATAGTCACAGTTGAGATGTGACGTCGTCGTGGGATGGAGAGAGTGCCAGTGAGACGCGGTGGTCCATGGCGTCTGAGCGTACATGAAAGGGACCAGACGCGTAGAGAGGCTTGCCCCTCCATGTCTTTGTGTCGCGGCAGCACGTGACGTTGCATGTGATTTGACCGTTCATCTTAATTTTGTGGCAAATTGCTTTGCTTTTCATGTGAAGGGACAAATTTGGGAGCGAGGACAAGAGCAATTTTTCAATAGTGTAGATACTGTGTACAGATTGTTGAAGTAGCTAGCAGTGTTTGCCAAGTACCTGATGCATCGACTTCAGGCACCACTCATCACCCACCGCCTTTCTTTCAGTGAGGAGAAGCTATTTGCCTGGGCTGCAAGTGGGTGAATGGCCCATCCATCCATGCGTGGATGATTCTGGACGCTTTCCATTGCGCCCCAAGCCAAGTTTCTGCCTGAGACCTGAGGCTGAAATCACCCGACCGGGGCCCTTTATTTTGGCACAGGCGGTAGCGGCTTCTTTTTAGGCCTAGCTCTCCTGGAAGTCAGTGGTGACTGTTGCCCGTCGCCCAAAGAAAGACTCGCCTGCTGGGTCAAATCATTTCAACGCCCTCCTAGTCCAGTCCCCGGCCGACCAACCCAACTTAAGCCTTCCCTTCCTCTTTCACCTTCTCCATCAACAACAAAATCTTCTTCCTCCTCCTTTTCCCTTTCCTCCTCACATCTCTCGACTCTTCCCGCCATCTTACCCAAGCGAGGAACCTTATTGAGCCAGCCTATTTTCATTTAAACGCTGGGCTCCCTTCTACTCATACTTCTTTGCGCTTCCCCCCCGCACAAGAATTTGCTGCTGCTGTTCACCTACCAACGCCCCCTCCTACCAAAACAATACCAGTCACCATGGCTGAGCGATACATCCCCGAGCATCGCCGCACCCAGTTCAAGGCCAAGAACACCTTCAAGCCTGAGGAGCTTCGTCGCCGCCGCGAGGAGCAGCAGGTTGAGATCCGAAAGGCGAAGCGTGAGGAGAACTTGGCCAAGCGACGAGGTATTGGAACCGGTGAGAACCGCCCTGGCGCTTCCCTCGGCGCCGCCCCCGACAGCGATGATGAGTCCGCTCCCACCGAGTCTCAGGTATGTGCTTCATCTTCCGTTTCATCCATGCGTCGTCTACTTCTCACTCGAAGCGGGCTTGCAAATCTCGTCTTCGCTTCGCCCCGTCCCTCCCGCCTGTGATGTGGGGGAAAAGAAACCATCTCATGGAACCCCACATTGCGTATGGCTCGGTGACCTGAGCAGAGGCCGACCACGCCTGCCATGACGCTCACGTCCCGCTCCATGGCCCAACCGCTTTTGCGTGCCCTTCAACTTTCACAATCCTAGCCTGAATCGTCGCCAAGAGACCCCTTGCTGACCCCTCCTCTTAGCTGAACGAGGACCTTCCTCAGATGGTCGCTGGCGTCTTCTCGGAACAGATCGATGCGCAGATCCAAGCCACCACCAAGTTCCGAAAGCTGCTCTCCAAGGAGCGTAACCCCCCGATCGAGGAGGTCATCAAGACCGGTGTTGTCAGCCGCTTCGTCGAGTTCCTGCGATCCCCCCATACCCTTGTCCAGTTCGAGGCTGCCTGGGCTCTGACCAACATTGCCTCCGGCTCCGCCACCCAGACACAGGTTGTTATCGAGGCCGGCGCTGTCCCCATCTTCGTCGAGCTTCTTGCCAGCCCTGAGCCCGATGTGCGGGAACAGGCCGTCTGGGCCCTCGGCAACATTGCCGGTGACAGCCCTCACTGCCGCGACTACGTCCTCAGCTGCGGTGCCCTGAAGCCTCTCCTTAACCTCCTCGGTGATAGCCGCAAGCTCAGCATGCTCCGTAATGCGACTTGGACTCTTAGCAACTTCTGCCGTGGCAAGACTCCTCAGCCCGATTGGAGCACCGTAAGTGACCAAACATCGAACCATGTGAACGCAAGCTGACATGTGCTATTAGATCGCCCCTGCCCTCCCCGTCCTTTCCAAGCTGGTCTACTCCCTCGACGATGAGGTGTTGATCGATGCTTGCTGGGCCATCTCTTACCTGTCTGATGGATCCAACGACAAGATCCAGGCCGTTATCGAGGCCGGCATCCCCCGCCGACTCGTGGAACTGCTCATGCACGCCTCCACCTCTGTCCAGACCCCTGCGCTGCGCTCCGTCGGAAACATTGTCACCGGTGACGATGTCCAGACTCAGGTCATCATCAACTGCGGTGCCCTGCCCTGCCTTCTTTCTCTGCTCAGCTCCACCAAGGACGGTATCCGCAAGGAGGCTTGCTGGACCATCTCCAACATTACCGCCGGCAACTCGTCCCAGATCCAGGCCGTTATCGATGCCAACATCATTCCTCCTCTGATCCACCTTCTCCAGAATGGTGACCTGAAGACCCGCAAGGAGGCTTGCTGGGCCATCAGCAACGCCACCTCTGGAGGTCTGCAGAAGCCTGAGCAGATCCGATATCTCGTTGCTCAGGGCTGCATCAAGCCTCTCTGCGATCTCCTCGCCTGCCCCGACAACAAGATCATCCAGGTTGCTCTCGATGGTCTTGAGAACATTCTTAAGATTGGCGACCTCGACAAGCAGGCTGCTGGCGAGAGCGGTGACTCCATCAACCGTTATGCTCTCTTCATCGAGGAGTGCGGTGGTATGGAGAAGATCCACGACTGCCAGAACAACGCCAACGAGGAGATTTACATGAAGGCCTACAACATCATTGAGAAGTATTTCTCTGACGATGAGGAGAACGCTGATGAGGGTATGGCCTCGCAGCCCGCCGGCCCCAACGGCACCTTTGGCTTCGGCGCCAACGGTGCTGCCCCCTCTGGCGGCTTCGATTTTGGCAAGGGCAGCGACGCGATGGACATGTAGGGCCTGACCTTGCAGCAGCGTTCTGAGAGGACAATGCATGCCTTTTGATGACTTCCGACTGGATATCCGAAACGTGGAGCAGTCTTCAACCCTAGCATTATAGTAGCATCACGACCCCTTACCCAGTACAGTTCTACCAGACTGTCATTTTACCCCCCACCCCTATGATATCACACACCCCAACCCAACCCAACCGCGTCTTTTTAATGTATCTGGAAGGTTTATGCGAGGGAAAATCCCATCCCCGCAGAATACAGGCCCTATGGTAGCTTGAAAGCTCCAGCCTGAGAGAGGAAGAAAGTGAGAGAGCGAGGACAGCGGAGGCGCTTCGCATCTCGAGAGGAGTGCCGGAGAAGTGGCCAAGGTGGACGAGTCGAAGTGGAGGCAGAAGGGCATCATGAAGGGTGTTGTCCAGGCCCACAAGACTCGCGCAACACGGCGCCGAAGGAGTCTGGCAGCATCATGCATGATTGATGCGAATGGAGGTGGAACCCCGTGCTAGTGCATCGGGAGATTCCGAGATGAAGCTTGAAAACTGCGGCTGATTCACTACCAAGTGGTGGTGTGTCTGGTTCAACAGTAGCCGAACCCGTAGTCAACAAAAATAAGGAGTGTTTGCCCCTCATTGTATGATTCGCATGGCTTTGGTGATGACAGTGATGACATGTGACGCTGGTTTATGTGTACAATGATATCGATGTCTCTGGGAAATCGCATTTATAAAGTCTGTCTAATCTCAAATTGTATCCGAATGATTGCGAATTCATTCCTCTTGAAGACGGTCAGCAACGATTTTAAAGGTATGGTGGGGTAAGAAACTATCATGACTATCGCACTGTATTACACAACACAACTGTATGGTCTCGCACAGTGTGAACTAGCCAAACAATTTTTCTGGACAATTAGGCAGTGACAGACTTAGGTTGACCTCACAAATCTGGCTTCTTTGGACAACCTCGGCGTCTTTCGCCCATCTCTTCTTGATATAAATACAGATAAATCTGTTATTGGCGATACCGAGTCCATATTAATCCTCTGTGTCCACTAAGAGCATATGTTTACTTGCTCTTTCAACCAATCCAAGCAACTTGATTAGGATGGTTGGTCACTTCGCGTAGAGCTCCACCAATCGCCTCCAGCTTGATATTATTCCTTCTACAACAACGCACCCGGATTCTCAGCCTCCATCATGGCGAAAAAAGGAAAGGCTAAGGCCAACGCGGGGATTGATCTGTCCAACCCGCTTCCCTCTGCTGCGCCCAAGGAGCAAGGCAAGGGTAAGAAAGGACAGAAGGCGGGTACTTCAACCCCCGAAGCTCCATCAACGGGTCCTCCCAAACCAACAGTGAAGCAACTCATCGGTGGCTCTTCATGGACTGGAAAACTGCCCGTCAACTTGCTGAGCGAATACTGCCAAAAGCAGCGATGGGAGCGGCCGGAATATGACACCAGAAAGACACCAGACGGTTTCTCCGTCTGGGTCACCTTGAGCGCAAAGGACACCAAGACGCAGCAGATGGTTAAGCTTGAGCCTTTCAAGATTCCCGCAACTCATAAGCACCTGATTATGCGGTCGACAGCTATCGAGGCAAAGCATGCAGCGGCTACATATGCTCTCTTTAGAGTGTGCAGCATGCAGAACAAGCATACGGTGCTTCCGCCGGATCACAAGTCGCTCTGGAAGGACTTCCAGGCTCTCAAAACCGCGGACGTGAAAGAGGGCAAGGCTTGGATGTACGAGGCGGATCCTTTCAAGACACTTCAAGAACGACAGGAGGCCAAGGCTGCGGCGGAAAAGAAGAGGAAGGAGATCGAAGCAGCCAAGGCCAAGGCGGCGGCCATGCCTGGAGCGGCTGGACTGGTCCTCATGAGCAACGCCGGGAATGGTTCTGGACGATCGTCAAATGTCATGAAAGGATGGACTACTGCGCCCAAGGTCGAAATGGGCAAGAAAACGAGAGCACAGCTGGAGACTCTTCTACGAACTGGAGTCAAGTGGAATCCCAACGACGTCCACATGCCGAAGAGCCAGAAGGACTCCATTGTCGCGGAACTGACTAAGCTTGGATTTCGACGAAGCCATGTTGAGGAAGCAGTCGAGTATTGCAAAGACCGAGAAGAGACGCTTGAGTGGCTACTCATCCACGTTCCCGAAGATGACCTCCCTAGATGGGCGTTGCCGGAAAGCTACTCTGCTGGTGTGTCTGTCGGTACAACCAACTTGAGGAGAGAGGGAATCATCAAGCGTCTTGCTCAGTCTGGGTACTCTCTTGAGCTGGCTACGAGAGTACTTGACGAGCAAGGTGGTGATGAGGGTAAAGCTGCCGAGACGTTGCAAAATCTGCTTTTCTCCAGCGACTCCCAGGATAATGACGATGCCGACTTCTTGGATCTGGGTTCTCCTGAAGAGCAGTGGGAAGAAGAGGTTGGAAGTCTCGAGGCCATGTATGGCGATGGTTTTGAGCGAGACGGCGACAACGTCATCCGAATCAAGCTGGATTCAGTCAAGAATGGACAGCAAACCGTGGAGGCATATCTACAAGTTCGACGGCCAGCCACATATCCTGCGAACTTGATCCTGTCCATCGTTGCCAACCTGCCTTCTTACATCAAGCTCAGCATCATCCGCAAAGCCCTCGAGCATATTGAAGAGTCGTTGCGCGATGAGCCAATGAAGATCTATCTGGCTATGGACTGGGTTCAGCAGAACATCAACGGCATCATTGAGAACCCTGGCAAGATTGTGGACATTTCTGCAGTCTCTTCGGCTGCGGCCGAGTTCAAGCCCGTTGCAGCTATTTCCCAGAAGAAGCGACCTTCTCGTGCACCTAGGGTGATCAAGTGGGTAAAGGATGAGCGGAACAGGGAGCAATGGCTGCGACGACAAGAGTCATCTTCGTGGAAGGACATGCTATCGAAGCGTCAAAGACTGCCAGCATGGAAGATGCGGGAAGCCATCATTGGCACCGTGAAGAGCAACCATGTCACCATCATCAGCGGAGAAACGGGTTCGGGTAAATCTACGCAGTCTATGCAGTTCGTCTTGGACGATTTGTATGCCAATGGACTGGGTGGTTGTGCCAACATGATTGTCACACAGCCTCGACGAATCTCGGCCCTTGGACTTGCGGATCGAGTTGCGGAAGAGCGATGCTCGCGCGTTGGAGATGAGATTGGTTATGCAATTCGTGGCGAGTCACGGAGGTCCAAGGACACTCGAATCACTTTTGTTACCACTGGTGTCCTGCTTCGACGACTCCAGACTTCAGGAGGTCGAGTTGAGGATGTGGCAGCGTCTCTAGCAGATGTCAGTCATGTCGTGATCGACGAGGTGCACGAGCGAAGTCTTGATACTGACTTTTTGCTAAACCTCATCCGCGACGTCATGAAGGCCAAGAAGGATATGCTGAAGCTCATTCTCATGTCCGCTACGCTGGACGCAGCCACGTTTAAGAACTACTTTGCGTCGGAAGGACTCAACGTGGGCATGGTCGAGATTGAAGGCCGAACATTCCCTGTGGACGAGTTCTATCTTGACGATGTGATTCGGATGACTGGATATGGAACCGACAAGTCTGATGATCCATTCATCGGCGATGAGGCCATGGGCAAGGTCATTCAGAAGCTGGGATCTCGTATCAACTACGGCCTTCTTGTGGATGCTGTCAAGGCCATCGACTATGAACTGTCGTATGAGAAGAAGACGGGTGGTATTCTGATCTTCCTCCCTGGAGTTGGTGAGATCAACCAGTCTTGTCGCGCTCTGAAGGCCATCAGCTCCCTCCATGTTCTTCCTCTGCATGCCTCGCTCGAGACCCGCGAGCAAAAGCGAGTGTTTACCAACGCCCCACATGGGAAGCGCAAGGTTGTGGTTGCCACCAATGTGGCAGAGACATCCATCACCATTGACGACATTGTGGTGGTGATTGATAGCGGCAAAGTCAAGGAAACCAGCTTTGATGTACAGAACAACATGCGAAAGCTTGAGGAGACGTGGGCATCCCGCGCAGCCTGCAAGCAGCGACGTGGTCGAGCTGGTCGTGTCCAAGAAGGCCAATGTTACAAGCTCTTTACGCAGAAATTGGAGCAGCAGATGCCTGAGCGACCAGAGCCTGAGATCCGACGTGTTCCTTTGGAGCAGCTGTGTCTTTCAGTCCGTGCCATGGGCATGAGAGATGTTGCTGGATTCCTTGGACGATCCCCTACACCGCCTGACGCCACAGCTATTGATGGCGCCATGAGGCTCTTGCAGCGCATGGGAGCCCTCGATGGTGATGAGTTGACTGCTATGGGTCAGCAACTCGCCATGCTACCTGCTGATCTCAGATGTGGCAAGCTGATGGTATTCGGTGCCATCTTTGGCTGCTTGGATGATTGCGTGACGATTGCTGCGATCCTGAGCACAAGAAGTCCGTTTGTGTCGCCACAAGAGAGGAGAGATGAGGCCAAGGAAGCCCGAATGATATTCTACAGCGGTGATGGTGATCTCTTGACCGATCTCCATGCTTTCCAGGAGTGGGATGCCATGATGCAGGACCGTATACCCCAGCGCCATGTTCGGTCTTGGTGCGAGGAGCACTTTCTCAACTTCCAGACCTTGTCTGACATCTCCAACACGAAAGCACAGTACTACACGGCCCTTGGAGAGATTGGCATCGTCCCGCCTTCAGAAGCCACGAGCGAAGCCCACGGTCGCGGTGTTGGCTCTGACTCTCCTCAACTCCTGCGAGCTCTTGTGGCAGCAGCCTTTACGCCTCAGATCGCAAGGATCCAGTATCCTGACAAGAAGTTTGCCAGCTCCATGTCGGGTGCTGTTGAGTTGGATCCTGAGGCGAGGTCGATCAAGTACTTTAACCAGGAGAACGGGCGAGTATTTGTGCATCCCAGCAGCACTCTGTTTGGGAGCCAGGGCTTCTCGGGTAATGCGGCGTATATGGCGTACTTTACCCTCATTTCGACAAGTAAGATCTTTATCCGGGATCTAACGCGTACGTATTAACCATGACATTTGGATAGACACTTACTAACACGGCTGCAGCATTCAACGCCTATACACTCCTTCTCTTCTCAGGCCCCATCGAACTCGACACCCTAGGCAGAGGACTCCTCGTAGACGGATGGCTACGACTCAGAGGCTGGGCCCGTATCGGAGTGTTGCTTGCCAGACTGAGGGGCATGGTAGACGAGCTGATTGCCAAGAAGGTTGAGAATCCTGAGTTGAGTTTGAAGGATGAGGAGGTGATTACGCTTGTGAGGAAGATGATTGAGCTTGATGGGTTGGATGCTTAGACGAGGGATTTGCTTGGGTTTGCGAAGTTTGTGAGGTTATTATACATGAGAGGAAAAGCAATGACTTTGACTAGGTTGACATGTTTGTTGATGTTGAGGCGAGAATAACGTGAAGGCCATGCATGGGTGTTGAGATAGGTGGCAAGAAGGCCCCATGAGATATGTCTATGATTCCATATCTGGATATTCGACGTGGATCTCGATTTTTGTGTCTATTGTATCTCGTGTCCATGTTGAAAAAGTGTGCTGGCTCAAGAGTGAGAATAAGAAGCCATGAGCATGGTGGTAGAAGCCGTGCACCACGGGGCATTACGGACGACAATAGACATCATCCCAGCTTGAATGCGTTGCCAGTGACTCTGATCTTTAGTTGTACAAATGTTTATTCCATGTGTGGATCTAACAGTCCGTCTTGTTTTTCTTATTAAACTTAGTCAATAGTGGTCAAGACCATATCGCCCATTTCTGTCCGTCCGAGGCAGCAACTAGCCCTTGTGGGCCTCCGTAGATAGGCTGTCATGAGCACCCATGACAACCTCACCTCAACCTCATCCCCCTACCTATAAACCATCAACTCACCTCAAATTCGCTACAACAATCATGTCGCATCAAGACTCTGAGCCCGAAGAGGCTATAACCAAAGAAGAGATTGAAGGGAAAGCACCAACATCAGCTCGCAATGCCTGTACGCAAACACCCATTCACAGTGTCTTGTCACCTTCTCACGCTTCACAGTCACGGCACTCATGACGCAGAAGCGAAAGGCGTCTCCGTCCGCTCCGCCGCCTAGAATGTCGCGAGGAGGAAACCCTTTCAGAGATCGTATGGGGTTGGGTGCCTACCTTGAAGATCCAGCTTCGTACCCGTCTTCACGCGTCATCTACCACAACGATTCATTCGTCGCCATAAACGATCGCTATCCCAAGGCGACGATTCACACCCTTCTCCTCCCACGCTCAACAAAACACAATCTCCTGCATCCTTTTGAGGCACTCGACGACCCCGAGTTTCTAGCTAGCGTAAAGGCCGAGACAACTCGCCTTAGAGCCCTGGTGGTGAAGGAGCTGCAACGCCGACTCGGGCCGGAAAGCCGCAGCGACGCACAACGACAAGCCGTCCTCAATGGAGACGCAGAACCCGGCGAGAGCGGGGAGCTGCCGACGGGACGGGACTGGGATGCAGAGGTCATTTCCGGAGTTCACGCCGTGCCCAGCATGCGACATCTGCACGTGCACGTCTTGTCGCGCGAGATGTACTCGGAGGCGCTGAGGCACCGGAAGCATTACAATTCCTTCAACACGCCGTTTCTGGTCAATGTTGATGAATTTCCTCTGGCAGCTGATGATCCACGGAGAAACACAAAGGAGGAACCGTATCTAAAGTGGGATATGAAGTGCTGGAGGTGTGGCCAGAACTTTGGGAAACAGTTTCAAAAGCTCAAGGAGCATCTCAAAGATGAGTACGAGACGTGGAGAAAGATTTGATCACGCGTCGAGTGCAAAGGAAACCATCAAGTAGTGAAAAGAGCCGGCTTTTCCCAGCCTCGATCAATAAATAACACAAAACTCCTCTGCATAGTAAAACCAGTAACCCCCTATACCGCCCATAAACCTGATACCATTACATTGCCCAGCATCACAGCTTGATGCCAGAGCCAAATAAAGCCGCCTGGCATTTATATAGAGTATAATCCGTCCTAGGAATAGACATGGCCCATGCTATCCTCTGCGCAGACGTCGCCGTCCAGCACTCTAGTTGGACAAGTCATCATCCGGCAACTGCGATAATCAGCGAAACATCTTCTTAAGACCGGATAGCCATGGTGATGGACGGACCTCCTTGTCGGCCGACTCCTCTTGGCCAGCTGTGGGAATGTCACCATCCGATTCATCATCGGCGTTGGCTGCTGCGCCTTAGCATGGGTCTTCATCACTGAGCGCAGGTCAAGGCTTACCATCCTCCACTGGCTCAGCAGCCTCAACGGGCTCAGGCTCCTCGTTGTCGTCCTCGGCCTCATCTTGAGCAGCTGGGCTCTCAGTGGCATTCTTGCTTGGCCGGCCACGCTTCTTGCCAGACTTGGGGGTTGTAGATTCGGCCTCGGGTTGGGCATTCTTGCGAGGTCGGCCACGTCCTCGCTTAGCGCCAGTCGCATCCGTTGATGCGGTCTTCTTGGCGAGGCCAACTGCTTTTTCGAGAGCAGCCTTCTTCGCGGTCGAGGCCTTGGTGCTTCCCTTGGGACGACCACGAGGACGACCGCTAGGGACGTAGGGGGGCTTAGGAGCGGCGCTGCGAGGTCTACCGCGGCCACGCTTCACAGGAGTTTCGGTATCTTTGCTAACGCCAGCAGACGACTTGGCGACGCGAGGCGATGTCGCGACAACGTCTTCCTTGGTGCGCGCCATGATGGATGTGACAAGTTGTTGAGAAGAGGAATTGAGAGAGAGGGAGGGACGAGAAAAATTATGCAAAAATGACGCGAGGGAGCGCGACCTGATTAAAATGGGATCAACGACGTAGTCAGAACGTGTTGATAGTCTGGCGTTGATGGTGAAAGAAGCAGAGTCTGGAGATGGCCGTCTACTGGGAAGAGTCGCGCTCCAAGTCCGGGAAAATGGTTAGTGAGCTAAAGTGGCTGGAGCTTTCCTTCCCCCGAACGCGTTTGCGCCTCCCCGCGTACAAGAGTGACTTGCAGCAAAGGAAGGTGATTTGCTGTAGAGGCGACAGAATTAACTGTGCTCTGTGCTAGGCTGCTATTTCTGTCACCCATCAGCTGCTGAGGCTAAAACGCTAATCTCGACAAAGTTTAGCTCTGCCGGGTGGCGGTGGGTCATTGGCCCAAGCTCCAGCCCAGTTGCACCAGTTAAACACGGCAAGGGCGATGCCAGCCACCCCTGCCGCTCACCCTAGCAACGCCCATGACAGCAGTAAACAAATCGCACAAAAGAAACTTGGGAAGGAGATAGGCATATGTGATGTAGCACATCCTTCGCCAACGACTTCACGACAGCATCGACACCGTCAACCAGACTCTTTTGACGATGGCTTATGATCATCGTCTGATGCCTGCTTCGCCCTCTGAGGGTCGGACAGTGCACTCTTCAGCTTCAACGCCTTCGCTGCGGTCCCGCGATGGGGCGTCGTTGCCCATGCTCGCCAGGATGGATGGAGGAGGCAACGTCAAAGTTGTCGTCCGAGTGAGGGCGTTCCTCAAGAGAGGTGAGACTGGTGATACCCTCTGACGATACAGGATCAAATGCTGACTTTGGCAGAACTCGAGCGCCAAGCAAGATGTCTCATTGAGATGGACCCCATCACTCAGCTCACGACTCTATTCGCACCCGACGACCAAGATCCCGCTGCCGCCAAGCTCAAGACCCGAAAGGTGATTGAGGACAAGAAGTTCACATTCGACAACTCTTTCTGGAGTCACGACACAAACGACAAGCACTATGCCACCCAGGAAGATGTCTACAACAGCCTGGGTGAGGATTTTCTCGATCACAACTTTGAGGGCTACCACACATGTATTTTTGCCTACGGACAGACTGGGTCTGGAAAGAGTTACACCATGATGGGAACTCCCGATCATCCTGGACTTATCCCTCGGACCTGCGAGGACCTTTTCGAGCGCATCGACGCTGCTCACAGCGAAAACTCCAATGTCGCCTACAACGTCCGAGTTTCGTACTTTGAGGTCTACAACGAGCACGTTCGCGATCTTTTGGTCCCCGCTGTGCCCACTAAGGCACCCAACTATCTCAAGATCCGAGAGTCGCCCACCGACGGCCCATACGTCAAGGATCTCACTGAAGTGCCTGTGCGAAACATCAACGAGATTCTGCGTTACATGAAAATGGGCGATGCCTCGCGTACGGTAGCAAGCACCAAGATGAACGACACCAGTAGTCGAAGTCACGCTGTCTTTACAATCATGCTCAAGCAGATTCACCACGACATGGAGACTGATGAGACGACGGAACGAAGCTCCCGTATTCGACTGGTGGATCTCGCTGGTAGTGAGCGTGCCAAGGCGACTGAGGCTACTGGTGCCCGACTTCGCGAGGGTAGCAACATCAACAAGTCCCTTACGACTCTTGGACGAGTTATTGCTGCTCTGGCAGACCCGAAGGCGCTCCGAGGCGGCAAGCGAAAGGAGGTGGTCCCATACCGAGACTCTATCCTCACATGGCTTCTGAAGGATTCGCTGGGCGGAAACTCGAAGACTGCCATGATTGCTTGTATTGCTCCCTCAGACTATGAAGAGACTCTCTCGACCCTCCGATACGCCGATCAAGCCAAGCGTATCCGCACCAGGGCCGTGGTCAACCAGGACCATATGTCCTCAGCCGAAAGAGATGCCCAGATTGCCGCCATGGCGGAAGAGATTCGCGTTCTTCAGCTTTCCGTCTCGGACTCGAGACAACGAGAAAAGAACGCCAAGGAAGCCGAAGAGAGGCTGGAGGAGTATCAGACCCGGGTTGCTACCATGCAGCGTATGATGGAAGAGCGCAGCATGGTGGCAGAGAGCAAGATCAAGAAGCTCCAGACCGAAAACGAGGCTCTGAAGTTGCACCTGAAGTTGGCTATCGAAAGCCTCAAAAACCCCATTCCTGCTGTCGAAGTCAAGACGGACCGAGAGTTGGACGAGCAGGACAAGGAGAACGGATCCGATTACGACGAAGACGATTATGATTCGGAGAGTACGGCGTACGGAGACGAGGATGAGTTGCAGGAGGAGATGCAGCGCTATCTCCAGGACATGGGCAACCTGAGGAAGCTGATTGGAGGCGACCTGTCGAGGTTCAAGGACGAGGACAGCGCCAGAATGCCACTGGGCTTGAGGGAGAACTTTTGAATGGGTTAAGAAGAGGCATAGCATTGGTAGGAGCATGGTGTTTTGGGAGCGTTGGCTTGAATGATGATTGGCTTGGCTTGGATTGGATTGAGTTGAATATCTCATGTAGGTTTTAGTTTTCATAGGCTCATGTCTAAAAGATTCATTTGTTTATATGTTTAGCCTCGTACTCTTCATGTGCTGTATGTGTAGTCCTAAATCACCCATGACATTCATCCTTTAACTAGGTGTCTATTCCTGTCCACCTAGCTACCGGGTTATTGATCCTGCCGAAATAGTTCAGCGTTCCTAGTTGATCCTGTATTGGTTATGGTAGAATTACAAATATAGTCATCAATGATATCTTTGTCAACGAATTCATTGACTTAGGTTATGCCATCTTTAATCTTTCCCATCTTGCAGCATGAAGGCCGAACTCGACTCGTAAAGGTCAACGCACCCAGCTCCCTGAGAAGGGACGATTCGAGTTGAAGAGTTTGACTGGCAACACGCACGACAGTCTATTTTTGGTTGTCGAATGCCTTCTCTCGGCCAATTCTTTCTCCTTCATCTCATCTTGGTCTTGGTGTTGACGTCGGCACCCTTGTTGGACTCTCGACGAGACCATCATCCGATGCCACGTATTGGAGTGGTTCATGGGTGACTCCTTGGATATAGCCTGCCCACTTTGTCTATGTTGCGCATAAGAAGAAGAAAAAGGCCACAGAATAATGATGCCGTTCAGCACCTGCCCAGCGTGAAAGCCTGTCGATGAAACAGGAGACCCATCTTGGCTCAAGTGTAAAGAGCAGGCAAGAAGAGGATTTTCCTTTTCTTCCGTCGAGGCACACTTTGCCTTGGTGCATTTTTCGTCCTTGTTGTTGTTCTATATATCACCTCTCCAAACCCCTTCTAGTTTGACATCTCCCATTGTTGTCCACTCTTAAAGCTCCTCTTGTTGTTTAAAGGGCCAAAGAGACTTGTATAAAACCAGAAAAAAAGCTGAGAATGGGACTGTGTTCTCGGATGGTCTTGAAATGAACACAGAAGAGGTTTGATTCTGTGCAAGGCCCTTGCCATGGTGGCGGGGATTGACTGCCGATGGCAAAATAACCAACCCCCCTCCATGAGATGAGGTTACTATTCTTTGAAAGTCAACAGTACCATAGCAGCGGTCGGCAGCAGACATGGCATGTATCGTTTCGATGTCCCGTAGCTCATCCGTCAGGTCTGTTGATTATATATATCATGCTCATTGCACCTCAGTGACACCTCTCGCTATCCAGTCTCCAAAGATTGCCAGCGATGTATCTGAGAAAAGAACAAAAGGCACTGTGACTTTACCCAAGTCCAGCACGATGGGTCGCTTTGAGAAAGTGGGTGTATGCCATCCAACCCTCAGGGCTTTTTCAGAAAACTGTTGCCGCAGATCAGGTGGTCGAATCTGAGAAGGGCTGCTCCTCCAACCTTTTCCCTGTCTGTGATGGTGAGTTGACCATCAATCTTGCAAATGGTGGTTCATATATAGAAGCTTATGGGGGGTGATGGGTTCCCCTTCTGTTCTTTGGGGTAAGGCTCCCCTGGGTCTTATTCTTAAAGGACTCGGCGAATCATGCCTTCAACCCTATATATAAGAAGAGACGCCGCAAAGTGAAAAGACTGTTTGCACATGCTGAGGAAAGGCCAGAGAATGTCCGGAGATGATGGTTGGTGATCGTGATTCAAGAGGGCTTTTGGGTGTCCATGGTAGCCCGGGCAGATCCTGCACTTCTCAACTCCAGAAATGTGACTTCATTGTAGGCACAACGGTAGGCATCTTTCGTTTCTGTCACATGTAATCTCCCAAACGCAACATCAACGCCAAGGGAAATCCCGGTCGGACCTCTTCCACGATTTCCGCCCAAGTGGCTTAGCCCGCTCACCAGGCAGCTTCATATATATCCCCATGTAGGATAGAGGTAAGAAAGAGGAGAGCAGACAAAGTTGTGGTGTTCGATGACTCTCGAAGCTCGTACAGTGCAGGTTGACGGTCTGCGTTGCTTCTAGAGTCGTGTGACACGAAGAAGAGGTATGCTTCCTGGTTCTCCGTGTGCTCTTCTTGCTTTCCCTCCCAAGGCCATACTTGGGCCATCCATAATCATTTTCGTCAGAAGAAACTGCGCTGTATATGCGACCAGCATGGCAGTATTGCCCCTTCTTCAATGAGTTGACCATAACGAGAGGATTGCGATGGATCGTAGCGTGGGTGTAGTACTCCATCAAGATGAGGAAACACCAGAATATATAGAAATTCGAGAAATCTGTTGATTCCCATGCCTCTCATCAGTCTCGGTGCTCAAAGACCACCGCTCCGTGCTAGCGACTCCCTCCTGATCCGGCGCAAGAATGGGAGATGCTTCCGACAAATGGAGAAGATGTGTTTCCATATTGTGACACGGTCCACGACCAGAACGACATGGCGACTCATGCAGTAGAACTTGCGCACGGCTGTATATATCGTTATTGGCAACGGCGAAAGGGGGTAAAATCGAATAAGCGCATTGCCAGGCCCAAGTCATCCTCAGCCCCAGCTTATCTTTGGGGGTACTGATCTCATTGGGAAACCCGCCATTATTATAAGGAAGAGAAATGCATATATAGGGATATTACAAGCCAGTGAATACTCTTGGCTGGTTCTTCGGGGAAGAGATATTCAGTTCCTATCCTTCACACTGCGTGATGTCCATGTTCGCCTGGTGGTGATAGAGTGCCGCCCTCTTTGCGCACCAGAACAGGCAAAAGACGAGCATTGTCGGCAATCTCCAAGAACTCATGGCAAGGATGGAGTGCTGAGTTGATGCCAAGGTCCCCGAAAGTCAATTGCAAAGGTGCAGGTTGCATGCGCAAGGGGATAGGTTTTGACTGGGTATATATATCCACGGCCTTCCGCTGGATCCGGGATTGATAGATGATGTTTAGTAACAGGAAGTGACCACAAATGATTCAAGATGAGGTTATGGTCTTTGGCCGCATAACTAGAAGGAGGACCACCAACCGGTGATAGTGATGGTGGTGATGGTGATGGTGACTTTCCACCCCCAGCAGGGTTTCACGCCCTTCGTTGTCGAGTGACTCTTTTGGTCGAAGAGTTTAGCCTCATGACGTCGTTGGTATTTCTATCACGGCTTGTGATTTTGGGATCGTCAAGCTGTCGCATGAGGTATAGGCCCTATCTCACCGCGGAGCTGCCCAGACTCTATCCTGAATCTCTCGGAGCAGTCTTGGGAATTGGTGAAAGGTTTTCGGGACAGTGGTAGTAGTGGGAACTGGCCAACACCGAACCGACCCAGTAGTGGAGAGCTCAGGTTGACCGTTCCATTTTATATCCCGAAATCTATATAAATAGAACGTTGAAGAGAAGTTTCAAGACAAAGTCCGCATCGAGAACCGGCACAACTGTCTATACCTATGCATAGAAATATCTCGCAGCAATCAAACCAAGGCTTGAGGGCCTCGGCGATTCCAATCATTGCCTGCTTGAATGGTGAAGTCGCATATATATAATCTTTTGGCTTCCTTCAGCTGTGCCGCTTTTGAGAGCCTGTCACCATGCCAGGAGATGTAGTGGCCCCCTCAAGCTCTTGCTATAGTAACCAGGAGTCGTTTGCAATTGAATCCATGGGGTGTCAACGAAGAGCCGTAGTCAAGAGGAAGCGGGACGAGTGGCAAGGTCGACGTGTGGCCTTACTCTGCTGTTCGAATAACCCGCCATGAGGGTTGATAGAGGATATATAATTAACGGAAAGGGAAGCGACGACAAGGAATTTGAGGTTGTGTTCAAAGGGGGGCCACCAACCGGTGATCGTGGTAGTTGTGACGGTGATGGCTGTAATCGAGACAGAGTACGCGAGAGTCAACTCGAAGCCAGCGTGTCACGAACTGCCACCAGTTGGCCAGCTCTCCCCATCCCCGAAATTTATATAGTATATTGGAGGAAATCCACCATGAAAAAATCGCCTATTTCCACCGTTGGTAGATGTACCTGAGAGAACCCTCTAAAAGTCGAAGCAGACTTCAGGGGCCTCGACAATTCCCATCAGAACGACGCAGCAGGTCAAACTGGTAAATGGCAGGGAATGCTACCATATGTTTGGACCGTGAAATTGTATATATAGGGTTTTTTTCCTGCCGTCAACTGTGCAAATCTGCCCTCATGCCCGCTTGTTGTGTGTTGTGCGTTGTGTCCTCGCCGAGACTTGCGAGGAAAGGTAATGTCTACTCGTATCAGGACCTGCACCATGTGACCTAGTCTTATTGATGTAGAGAGCACCATCAGGGCGATTTGGTTTCCCAGTCATCCAGAGACTCCACGACCAGGACCAGGGGGTCTTGCTATCGCAGTCTTTATCACTGACGAAGATCATCTGTTGGTAGAAACTGTTGTGATGGTCGATCGGGCCACTCGACTCTTCAGCCGCCGAATTATGAGGTGGTTCTTTGAAGTCGACTGGGTGACAGGTCGACTAACGAGCTTGACTCTCTCTGTTCGGACAATATGCCACCACATCCATCTTGATGCACTTTCTTGGCCTCGGCACAGTTTGTCCACCTCAATGTTGGTCGTTCAACTCGATGTCATCAGCGACCGAGCGGGGGTATCATCGATTGGGGTGCGTAGAGCCAGTCATTTGGCCTCTGATCCCATCGTTTCTCAGAAACACCATCACTGCCACTGGAGCGGGGGCGGAAGCGACGATGAATGCCTGGCTGCAAACTCATGTATATATATAAGGCAGTCTTTGATTAGAAACAATTCTTGTTGTCGAAAGAAGGAAATTGGGGGAACAGACTGAGGGTGGCAGGGTGAGTGGTAGAAAGGAGGAGGAGGCACGGTGACTTTATAGTAATGGGATCAAGTTAACGCAACGTTAACTCGCCGTGTGACGTTACCGGGAACATATTTGGCTCTATTGATTTGATACAAATTGCTACAAACTTGCCTAGCTGACAAGCGCAAATGGAATTGGTTGGGTGATGAGATTGCCAGTGATTGCTTTGCGGTGGGATCATATCGTAGTGTAAGTTTGCCAAGCACAAAGAAAAGTTATCATATCACACCATTCAATTCATCTTCTACCTGCCGCAGATGATTATATGGCTCATGTCCGGCTTCGGGATAGCAAAGGGGGCAGTTTAAGAGTTAAGGGGGCTTTGTTAGCTACGTATGTCAAAGACAATCAATATCAAGCGGGTTCTTGTCAAGTAAAGTCCATTTGTACTCGCTTGTAAACTGAAATTTCAGCTCCAAGCATCGAGCAAGCATATATACAAGAACAAAAAGACGCATCAAGCCCAACCCGACCCAGTGTATCCCTTGCAACATTAACAAACCGCTTACGCGGGGCAAGCTCCAATCTTCTTGGGCTCACAGCCACCAGCACAACCATTGTACATAGTACACTTCTGCTTGGTGTCGGCGCAGACGTTCTTGAGGGTGGCAGTGTCGCCGTAGTTGGCGTTGATGCCCGCGAGCTCGCCACCGTTCTTGGCCGTGACACCCTCGATGTAGACGTTGCGCTTGCACTGCTTACTGCAGTTGCCGCAGGATCGGTACAACTTGCCGTAGTCTTCGACATAGAAGTTGATGATGTTGACTGTGCCGCAGCCGTTGTGCTGAACTACCTTGTCTGAGGCGTGGTAGGCACCTCCGCCGATGATCCAGGATTCCTTGCCGGCTTTGTCTTCCTTCTGGAGGGTTGTTAGAATATGCCAGGTTATCGTTGGCGGTATAGGGGACTTACGATGGAAATGGCGTCCTCGCAGACATCCTCGAACCAAACAAACTCAAGAGTGCAGTGTCCCTTGCAGTGAACACCCTCAGATTGGTCCTTGCCAATGATGACGTTCTTCAGAGTAGCGCCCTCGTGAAGCAGGAACACGGCATCCTTGTCACCTAGAAGCATATTAACCTCACATATATCTTGTCGATGAGTGTGTATGTTCACTTACCACCCTCATTCTGGCCCTTGCAGGCTCCTGATCCACGATCATACTTGGCCCACTTGCCGTCATAGACCTGGCCGGCCTTGACCTCAATAACTTTGCTGTTGGAGATGTGATCGGTGGGATTGGGGACACCGCCAGTGTATCCGAGGCAGGCCATGGCCGAGGGGAGGAGGCTCGTGGCCGCGACAGCAAGAATTGAAGCCTTCATGTTGGATAGTAGGATTCTAGAGGTCGAGATCAAGCAGAGAGTTGTAGACGATGGACTTGTTTGTGAGGTGATTTAGAAACAGAAGCACCGTAGTAATGGACTCTTATATAGGCCTTCAACACAATACCAATTCTCCTTCATCAGTCTCTCGTGAGGCCTCAGAGGCCTGGACAATACCAAGAATCCATCTGATTGATGGAAGTTTCCCACGGCTTTTCCACGACAAGGCGAGCCATACCAGCTCATGCAGGACACACTAATGGATGCCTCCGTAGTTCCCGTATCCGTAAAATCGTGGTCCCCGTCCACCGCGCCGCCGACGCTCCGAGACCCGTGACGGGGATCCTCATCCACCCCGGTCCATCTCGGATGAATAGGCCGGTGCGGGTAAGGCAGGCAATCACCTTGCGAGAGCATGTTTCAGAATGAATATGACGTCTGTTTACCCGGTCACATCACGGTTCGTTGTCATCTGTAGACGTTCACTATGATGATGGATCAAGGTATGCCCCTGAAATCATTCCTACTGCTGGGTCCAAGCCGTGGGTCCTGCTGACATGGAAATAACGGCAAGAAAACTCACATGGTAATTCCTTGGCTTTTCCCTCGTACGGTCTAGGTATTAAAGCTTCAACACAAGGTTAAAATGAACCTATCAACAAGGTGCTATCTGATGAATCTGATCCGCACCAACGAGATATTCGCAACATGTCAGACGGTACCACACACTTGGTCATCCCATAAAGCACCACTTCTCTTCTACCCTATAAGTCCCCGACCACTCGTGACATTTCTAATGAAACCCTTTCACAAACAGGTAATTTTTGCGGGGTAGCGAGAGACGTGCTCCGTCGCCTTGCTCCTCGATTTGGCAGTTGTACATACGACTGGGGCGACTTGATTGGTGGCTCTATTCTTACCGTTGATCCTACAGCTGGGGATTCGATCAGAGGGTTGCAAATGTTACTTGGGGACTGCGTTTTTATTGAGCTGGTGTCACGAAATGGCATTGGGATGGATCGATATCGCGCAGTTTTCCAGGGAGATGCTTGTCGGGTGAAAGATGGCCGAAGACGATGCACAGAGCTAAACTGGGCGGTTATGATGAAGAGTCAAAGCAGATAGTAGCGACTGTCACTAGCTACGCTCTACAGGTGTCTTGTGAATAAGCTTGTTAGTTGACACTCGATCAAGTTTCCGATTAGCAAACTGATATTGACCGATCTACCAGTAACCACTCCCTTCAGACATTCCATCCCGTGCAAAACTCCGGCGGCCCCTCTACATGACATGCCAAGCCGTGGGTCACGGCAATCCCGCTGCCGTGGCTCGTGCAAGTTCTCAAGGTCCACCCTCCGAGCCCCCGGGTCGGGTTGCCCTCGCTAAGAGAATCCGGCCGGGGGGCAGGGGTTGATGCCGAGCCGCCTCTTGTCATGGAATCATCCGATCGTGTTCTCTCCCCCGAGACCCGCGGGGGCGGTCTACAGGATTTCCATCCTTCCTTCGGGTTATTCGGAGCAACCCGTGGTTTTTGTGTGTAATAGATCCAGAATTTAGATGCAGAGGATGTGGTATGGCAGAAGTTTCGGCATCATATCGCCATGATTGAAGGTTCAGATTTAAGTAATGGTAACACAAGTCAACAGTGGTTGACCACAGACTTCTATAAGTAGTGATTATTTCTGAGAGTCTGAATGCTTCCGAGCACCTCTCAAAATGATCCGGCTTGAAGAAATATGCAGTCTTCCAGGTTAGAGATGCCAGTTGAGTGTTGCTACCCTGTTGGTATGGCGATATGCTATTGCAAGTGAGCCCAGTTAGAAATCAGTTTGGTCACATAGAAATACCAGTATTTCTTCACATCATTACGTACATACATGTCTCAGTGGGTCAATAGACATAGCTCTCGTAGTAGCCGTCGTGTGATTTACTCGTGGAGGCTTGTCTGCCCCCAACACGCTGAAGACTTCCGCATGTATATCGCAACACGACTTTGTGGCTCGATCTTTCAACTCCACCTTCTTGAGTTCTTTTGTTGCATCCAATGCCAGAATACTTGAAAATGGTGTGAGGTGATGGTAGCGGTGCTCAAATCTTTGGTCATTGCCTTCGAAACGATATCCTCCATTTGCCCTGACAAAGACGGTGTGTTACAGCCAGAGTTCATCTCTCTACAACATCAAAACAACTCAACGCATACGCTACAATTCTGATAGTGATATTTATTCCTTACCTTTCGACTTTACCACACTGCTTCACTTTACCCCGCCAGACTCACTCAGCCCATACTCACGCGATACCGAGATTTTAGACATGGAAAGCGATGTTACGTTCTATAATAGTATGCCTATAGCATATGTGGTAGCATTTAATACAATTCTTTCCCTCAAAGGTCTCTTAATGAAACCACTGAAGGGGACTTGACTTCCTCCAAGTCCTACGTGATTCAAGACGAATACGAAACCGACTTCATCAGATATGACTGCGTTTAAAATCTCTCCAAAGATGGCACGAGATACCAGCTGAGCCATACCTATTAAGCTTCCATCCGAAATGGTCATGAACCGCGCCCCCTTAGAGCCAAGCACAAGAGTGAACGGTATCTGCCAAAAGGCTAGAAGGACCGAGCCGGGAACAATAAGCCCTGAATTGACGATATATAGGAAGCTGTCATATGATGTCTCACTCTGGACATGTTAAAATTTTAACCTTGGGGTCTTTTACTGCGAGTTCGTGGCCTGTGAGAACCCTAGCTCTACCGTCTGGAACTCGGATCATCCTCTCGGGATGCCTACAAGTGTAAGAATTTATCTAGAATTCCACTGTGGCTTGCTTAGTTCTAAGCAATTCCACCAGGAGTCTGTCAGAACGATATTAGTCCAGAGGTCAGAGTCGACAGGATGGGCGAGGAGTGAGAAGTCGACTGAGCGAGAGCGAGAGGCATGTTCGATCAAGGTTCTCAATTAATGCTCCATCTGATTACTTGCCATTGTCGGATAATCTGGGAATGGGCTTGGTGTCTGTAGTCCTCAAACAACGCGGCAAGCGGTTGAAGCCCCCTCCCTGCCCAGGTCCAGGTAGCCGAAGCTGTTTGGCACATGAAGATAGCCTCAAACTACCACCAAAACTCCATCCATATGACTCGCATTCCGTCGAGTCCATGATACACCATTAGGTTACGCCTCGACGACAAGTGCTCTATTCAATACCTACTATCAATCAGTACATCGGGCACTTTCACGGGTTATACGAAATGTCCTCAGTAGTGTTCAAGTGAGGATATTTCCCCTCTGCCATCTTCCCCGTGAGCTAAAATCTCCTCGTTTGGCAGCATCATCATAAGAGTTAGGTACGACTAATAGAACACGATGATGACTTACAAATGGAAACCGTCCAACTGTAAGGAAGGAATCTAGCTCCCCTTTCCTTTCATATCTCCCTCCTTCTCTTTCTCCTCCTTAACCGTTCCCTCTTTTTCACCCTCTCTCCTACATCTCCCCCAACCCCGTGCACCATTTCCCACACTCCCTTACATCAACGTTCTCACATCTACTCATCTTCAGACCAGCCGAACACGCTGCCATCATGCCCAAGGCACAGAAAACACCCTGGGCTGGGTACTGGGAACCTCCCCCAGTGAACCAGGTCTTCGTCTCGCGGGCTGATCGAGCCACAAGCGTCTACGATCGCGACGTCGCATTTCGTCAGGCTCAGAGAGATGCCTTGATCATCGCCGCTCAGGAAGGCTATCAGCAGAGAGGCCAGAAACGGGGAGCAGATTTCGACCATGACTCCGAGGCGGCCGAGTTCTTACGCACCCCGAAGGCGAGATGCATGCCGGTCATCGCTGAGGAGGACACATCGATGGAAGGTAGTGACATGGTGGCACAGGATCCAGGAGACGAGACCGAGCATCAACATGCGAACCAGGCACCTACTCCACGGGCTGTTCCAAGCAATGGGCAGTCTCTGGACAGTAAGTACTACGAATGTACATCGATGGAGTATGTGGCTAATGCTGTTTGCAGTTCAGGAACGCCTAGCTGCCTTGGAGGGCAAGATGCAGTCTCTCGACAAAACCACAGAGAAGCATGTGGGCGACCTTGGCTACCTCCTCCCACGGACGACGGAGTTGGCGAGCGTAGGCCAGGCTGTCAAGAAAAAGGCCGATGTACTGGAGAAGGGGATAAACACGACCAATGACAACATTTTGGGCCTGTTGGGGGTACTGAAGCAGTGTTCGGAACTCAACCGCGACATGATATCACTCTATGGAAGACTGGTTAAGCTCACGGAAAAGACAGCGAGAGACTTGAAGGTCACCAGAAAGGCCTTGGATGAGACACGAGCAGCACAGACCAAGGATCGGGCAGCCATCTCCAGTCTCCAAAAGGAGCTCTCGAAGATGAGGGATGAGGGTATCACCAAGTCAGAGAGCACCAGCACCTGAACATGATCCAACATCGTTTGTGGTGCACATCAAAGGCGACGCGAGTTTCGCTGGGAGCAGAACATTGATCTTGGGCCTCTAGGGCGAATAGACACCAGAATGATAGGTCGCATCGTCGACATCTACCGAGACTGAGGATGCCATGCTTTTCGGGGAATACCGATATCGAGCTTGTTTTTTTTTGTAACTAGGCCAGGCACTTGCCGGCGGTCAAAAGAAACTTTACTCTTTACTAAAACGTTGCTGGTCTATATCAAAACTCAAGTTTAAGTTAACATCACAGACTTCAACCTCGTCGTTGATACATATTCTCCCTTGATAATATCACCGGCAGCCCAACAATTGCAAGGGGCAACACTAGCGATTATACAGTACCAGCTGACAGGGTTGATGTGATTGGACGGGCACCCTCCCCCTGGCCTATATTCGCACGACGGTGACGACTCCGTGCAGGAAATCAACCCACCCCGAGTTTCAGCGTCGACTGGGCAGACTTGGAACGATTCGCCTGTAATTTCTTTGTCTGAGGAGAGGGGAGGATCTAGACTTACAGCCAATGAATCACGCTATTGCCTTCTCTGCTCCATCTTGACGTCTCTCATTCGTTGTCGCTTTGACCCCGCGCAAGTCACGGTCTCGTGTCAAGTCAGGTCAGACCGTGGATGGTTCGGCTCTCACATCCTCTTGTTTTGTATCAACTGTTCCTTTTTAGCCCCCAAAGTTGTTGGTGCTACTACTGCTACTACTGCCGGCACTTGGGTTCAAACTGTGGATTTTGGAGCACCTTGTTGCTTCAGTTGCGAGCTCATCCCCACCATAAGCTATCCTTGTCGCGCAATCAGCTCAACCACGCCCAAGCCTCATTGTGCTTACCTGCCGTATCCCGGGCCTTAGAGAGTCCTCTTCTCTCTCTGCCTTTCCCCGACTTGGCAGTATCTGCGGCAAGCTGGGTGCTTAGGCAGACAAGGGGGCGCTATTCCGCTTCTGTCCCAGGTCAACCTGACGTGCCCCTCCTTCACTCAGACAAGGTAGCGTAGCATCTCATTCCCGACCTTGCCATCTACATCGCCTTAAACCTCAAACAAGGCCGCATTTCTTACACTCGTTTTTCCTTACCTTTCTTCTCTCTCTCACCTTTGTCTCTACTCTCTACTTCCAGTCAAAATGTCTGCCCGTCTCCCCCTCTTCACCCGTGGCCTCGCCGGCCCCCAGGAGACCGAGAACGGCGGAGGCTCCCCCGCCGAGCAGCGAGACGACGCCAAGCGCAACTTTCTCAAGACGATGCGCGCCCTTCCCACGCAGCACTACTGGAACGTCTACTTTGACCGCCAGGCCAAGGATGGGCAGCCCTCGGCCGACGGCAAGGACCAGTACCACGCCAAGCTCGAGCAGCTCGGCACCCAGATCGAGTCGGTCCAGGACTTTTGGCGGTACGCCAACAACACACCCATCGAGAACATCAAGATGCGCGAGTCTCTGTACCTCTTCAAGTCTGGCTTCCGCCCCGTTTGGGAAGATCGTCGGAATATTCTCGGTGGTAGCTGGACCTTTCGTGTGCCCAAGAGCATTGGGCCTGATGTCTGGACCCGTGTTCAGCTGCTAGCTATTGGCGAGAAGCTCCAGAGCGTCCTTGACGATGGTATGTCTATCCACTTACTCTAGAGACAAACTAGCGCTAACTGAAACCCACTACAGATGATCAGCTCTGCGGCGTCGGTCTCTCGGTTCGTTTCAACTCGCACCTCGTCACCATCTGGCACCGCGACGCCTCCAAGCAGAACTCAGTCGAGGGCATCCTCGCCTGTGTCATGGAAGAGCTTCCCGCCGAGCTACGCCCCAAGCCCGACGCATACTTTTACAAGAGGCACGCCGACCACCTCGGCTTCAACCCTCCCCCGGAGCTCAAGGCCGTCCTCGACTCCCGCCGCAAGGAGGAAGCTGCTCGACAAGCAGCCACCCAGGACGAGTCTGGTGATGCTGCGCCGGCCGAGCAGCCCGAGGTGACGGTTCAGTCACCTCAATGAGTTACGAATATTACGGCCTTTTCGATATTCACTTGATTGTTTGTTTAAATTTCTTTTTTTTTTTTTTTGAGATCTTTAGTTTGGGAACACATATCGAGTTGTGTCGGCTTCAGCCTTGACACAGATCCCGTCGTCACGGGCGGGGGAAGGAATTGCATTTGTCATGGCGTTTCAGAAGTAGGCGGGAAATCATATACTATTACGGCCAGGGAAATTCATCTAGAAGGATTTACCATCCCCTGGTTACTATTCAAATCGATCAAGGCGAGAGAGAACTCAGAGCTCGTCATACACAAACCCCTTTGTTCCGTATGAGGTGCGCCATGATGGCCAAAACAGGCTTGTCATGATATGAAGGGTCGTCCGGCCCCTTTGTTCAATTTCCGCCAGCTTTGCAGGGGTATCTGAGTTAACCACATGGATCTCGTCGTCAGGCTGGCTCACCTTGACACTGAGACTCGACTCCACTGACCGTCCTGTCCAATTCTTGCGTCAAGCCATTGTATGGCCAATACCTCATCCCTGAACTTTGCTCCTCCCCCTTATACTATCGACTCCTCAAACGCCCGTATAGTAGTAATAGTCAAGTTTCGTATCTTCGTAAATTCGTATCGCGGAAAGGTTGCACGTGTCGAGATATCATGTCACCTCCAGACTCCGGCGCTCTTCATGACTCCGTCAAACTCGTCGACTCCCACTCCCCTGGCAACGCCCACGCCGCCATTTGCCTCTAGAATCATATCCTTGAGCAATTCCTCGTCGACATCCTCCTTGAGGACCGCGGCGACACGCCGGAGGTGCGCAAGCGTGATCGGTCCGTCCTGTCCGTTTGTGAAGAGCCGGAACGCCTCTTCCACCTCCTCGCGGTGAGCATCAGAGTTGTGTTCTCGGGTGTGGAATTTGAGCGCGCAGATGGCGAAGAAGGGTTCAAAGGTCGCGTAGCCGTCGGATTCAGGGTCGAGGATGGAGATGAACTCCTTGAGTTCTTCGGGAGATGAGGCCGGCACACCGAGTGCTCTACACCACAAACATTGTATCAGCAAGAGTTGGGCTTCACAACTTTTTTTTTCGAGACTTACATCAGCGCAGACTTGACATCGTCAATGGGTAAAACACCATGCTTCTCCCCATCCATGGGCTCTGCAAAGAGGCTAAACGCCTCACGGATCTCGCCCTCCTCCTGCGGGGTGACGTTGTGCTCCTTTGCGAGCTTGGACTGTCGGGGCTTGGGCGCGGCACCACCGCTGGCGGCTGCTTTGCGCTTCGGAGGCTGAGACCTTGTTAGATTTTTTCTCTTTTCGCATGTTGTGTGTTGTAGAGTGTTTTACCATGTGCGATATTGGCCGTAATTCGTAGGGGAAAGAATGTTGGCGGCTTGCGACGCAGTTCACGGTTAGTAGTGTTGGTCATCTTGGTGGTGATGGCGGGTGGTTGGCGCCGCCTATGGACAGTGCGGAAGGACTGTGTCCATGGATAATTACTACTGTATGGGCCGCATTCACGACACTTCTTTATCAGTTTTTCTCGCCAGCTCCCAACCTTTCCTCCTCGACATTCTTCCACAATCCAAGACTCCAACGCCTCGACGCCGGACAAAGGCCACCCGCGTCCCTCTACGGGAATCATTACCGCGATAGCCTCAAGGTTTGTAATAGTCCACAGTCGAGGCGCGAATCCAGTCTTGCTACCTTTTGATTCCGATCACCCATCCTGGACCTAAATATCCTCCCACCGCTTCTAAAAATGCTAGAGCTTGCCGCTTTGAATTTACTACAGCGAGCAAGTGTGGACAGTGAAGCAAGATGAAAACCCGCCACTTCGATTCTTCAAACGAGGTGGTTCCAGTGGGTAGCAAGCGACGCCGTTGTCAGAGACGGATGCCTCGCGATCCCTGGAGACATGCCAAACATAGACTTGAACCTTTTCAATCAACTATCACGAGTATCTCTGCTCTGTATATTCACGCTCCATTCGCTTCATCATGCATGTGTTCTCTTGGTGCCTCAACTCTCAACCGCCCAAACTCCGTGTCTGCCTACATCTTTGGCTCGGGAGCCCTTGAAACGTCAATTGAGGTCGTCAAACTTGAAGATACTGAGATACTTACTCACTTAAAGTTGTTCTTCATCTCTCGCAACTTTGTCATGACAGCCACGGGCTCAGTCTCGCCCGTCACCTTGTGAATTTCGGGATCCTGATGCAATCCAGTTAGCTTAGCTCAAAGTCAGCTTGCGTCTTGACAAACCTCAACTCTCATAAACACATTATGCTCCTATAGTTCTTGATTAGCCAGCCTGTTAGGTCTCGGAAGCGATATCCTGACCTTTTCATCTCCAATGGTAAACTTTCCAGTCGTCACCTTGTTGTTCTCGGCATACGAGTGGAGCTTCTGCACAGCATCTCGCTGCGATACAGAAGCCGCAAACTTGACGTTGGACTTTGTGTACTCGTGTCCAGGCTGCATCAATGTTAGAATTTTGCCAACTTGATCACCCGCCTGACTTCTCACATAAACCAAGGTGTCATCTGGCAGAGCGGCGAGGCGCTTGTTCAGGGCCTCATGCATCTCTGCCGCAGAGCCCTCGAAGAATCTTCCGCAACCTAACCAGGTCAGTCTCATCCACACACAGAGAATGCGAGAACTTGCCGCCGATGAAAAGAGTGTCTCCTGTGAAAACAGCCTTTTCATTGCCGTCCTCCATGAAGAAACAAATGCTGTCCTGGGTGTGACAAGGCGTGTGAACTCCCTTCACGGTGATGTCACCCAGCTTAAAGGTCTCGCCATGGCCAGGCGTCTTGGTGACACCCTCGCAGTCCTTACCTCCGATAATGTCCAGCTTGGGAGTTCCAAGTTCAGCAAGCTTACCAATGTTAGTGAAATATCATGAGTACAGCTCCATGTGAAACCTTACCAGCTTCTTGTTACCTCCCGCATGGTCCCAATGGCTGCGGCGGGGTCAGTTTGCTGCACAAGGAGGGGTTGTCCGGCACTCACTGATGGGTGTTGACGATGGCCGTCAGGTTAATCTTGCCCGCCTGAATAGCATCCTTCAGAACCGGAGCAACTCTATTGAAATGGAGCATTAGCGAGCCAATTCAGAAAGGCTTCATGAGTCCCACGTACTCCGGAGGGTTGGCAGGGTCGATAATGACAGCGTCCTTGGATTTGTCATCGACCACCAAGTAGGCGTAATTGTTGTGGCTCCCCTCCCCTGTGAGAGTCAGTATTTCTATCCCCTCAATGCCGGATAGTTCCATAACCAGGTGAGAAGCTTCACATACACATAGGAATCGACTGGATATGCATGGCGCGGGATGCAGCAAGCTACGTCAACTCAGCTTCTCCAGCTCTGCAAAGCTAAGAGCAATTGACTTACCGCTGTGGAGATGATTCCAAATTTCTTGTTGAGAAACGGTCGTCTGGTCGCGAGTCTATACATAGGTGTGTGTGGAAATACAGAGAAAAGAGTCGAGGTTGCAGTGTAAGAGGACGATGCCGAATGGGATGTGAGGCTTTGTAATCTTTGGCCAGGGCTAGCGAGGCATCATGTCTCCAACATCATGACGTTGCCCCGATGGGGATGCGGCACGTGATATCGGCATTCAAGACATTGAGAAACACCGCATGGCAGGCTTTGGGGGGACTTGTCATGATATCAAGTTGGGGGTATTAAATATTTTATGCCAAGAGCAAGTCTAGACAATGCCAATGGGCTTGGGCTTCCAAGGACCCTCAAACTGTGACCATCCAAAATCTTGCTCAACCTCTGCCGCCTCTCCATCTCCTGCAGCAGACTCGTGAGCTTCCGTATCCTTCATGGGTATATCTGCAGTTCCAGGCTCCTCAACACTCTTCTGTTCATCCAATTCTTTCAACCGCTGGCTCAGTTCAGCACACTTGAGAAACACCTGGTTCCCTGGTAGACTGCTCCTAACCTCGTCCACCGTCTTCACCACGCGCTCCCTCGGCCACCGCTCAAACTCGCCAATCATGATGCCCAACTTAGTTTCATCTCCCTCGCGCAGATACCGCAGCACCATCTGTCGACATGGATCGCCCGTGTCGTCGCCGAGGTGCTTCCAGTAGTAGTCCCAGATCCACGCCAGGGCCTTCTTTGCCGCCGTGCGTAGCTTTGCCAATGAGGGTAGCTGCTCGTGAGTTGACTGATGTCGGAGCTCGACAAATGTAGCTGGTAGACCTATCGTCTTTGCGATCGAGTACATACTCTGCTTGCGCTGCTTGTCCTGGTGGCCATCGAGGAGACCAGTAACGAACCTGGACTTGACATGAGCTCTGTTCAACACATCCCATACGTAAATACTCACCGACTAAAGGCCGCCGAGTATGCTGCCCGTATAGCATACGCTGAGGAGGCTGCATTCTCCCCTGCAGCTGCTTCTCCGTCACTCAACATGGCTGCCATCAAGAGGGCTGTCGACTCGACCATATGAGGACAATTTCCTCGCTGCATCCACATCGAGACCCGCGCAACCGCCTGATGCTGTTTCCTCCTCGCTTCTTTATCATCTGTATTTTGACGAGGCCGAATTATTCCCGAATGCTCCTGCTGGCCAGCATCTTCTGGCTTTTGCTCTGAGTCCTGGGTGGTGGTGCTGATTCCGTCGAATGAGGCGTAGAGCTGTTCGCGAACCAGCAAAAGCTCATAGCGGTCGCGCCACGGCGTGAAGACGTATTGAACCATGGGAACAACTGTGATTATAGCTGTATTTGAGATGACTGTTTTCGTCTTGAGTTTTGGCGATGAACAGGATTTGATGGTGCTTGTTATTGAGATGAAAAGTCCTAGGTTTACGATTTGGCAGGGTGAAATAATTTTCCAGCGCTTGACAGTGGGTTGCAATATGAACATCACAGTCATCAGCAACCCAAATGTTTAATCATCACACAACCTAGTTGATCTATGAATTGCTCTACAGGCACACTTCAGTTCATGGGACGTCTAATTTGTGGTTCGTTTTATTCATTCCACATTCTACCCGGTGTCATGTTCTCATATCCGGAACCATTTTGCAGCACAAGTCCGTATCATTTTCCCACTTAGGAGACAGTCTCCTCAGCACAGAAGATGTCGTAATCCTCCTTGAGTCCGTATCATTTTCCCATTTAGGAGACAGTCTCCTCAACACAGAAGATGCCGTACTCCTCCTTGAGCTCCTTCAGGATAGGGTTGTTGATCTTGCCGTTCATGGGAGCCAGGATACCCTTCTCAGACAGAGTACCGTTGAGAACCTGCTTGACAGCAACAGCGCACGGAATTCCCACGAGCGTGGCCATCGATGAGTAACCCTTGGGGTCGCCATACCGGACGAGAGTAGAGGTACGGGTCTCGCGGGAGCCGTCCTTGTGCTCAATCTCGAACTTGTGCTGGAGCATAACGAGATCACGCTCACCCTCCTCAAACTGCATCTTCTTCTCGAGGGTGGCGCAGAGGGTGTCGAGCGGGTTACCGCGGGGGGTGATCTTCTCGTCAGAGAAGAGACCGATCCAGCGAAGACCGCTCAGGATACGCTTCTGGTCTTCAGGAGAGTCAAAGGTGGCCTTGGAGATAACAGCCTCCTCAAGGTCGGCAGCGCTGGAGGACTTAGCACCGACAATAAGCTTAGTGGCCTCGTTCCAGGCAATAGGCTGAGAGAGAGCCTCCTGAGCGGTATCGTCAAGGAAGCCAATCTGGACCAGGACTCGGATGAACTGGGGGAATCCCTGGTATCGGAGAGTACCTCGGATGATGGTCTCAGCCTCGGGGATGTTGTAGCGCTCCTTGTAGGGGGTAGAGTCTCGGTTAGGGTAGGCGACAAAGGCGAAGCCAGGGTAGATGAAGTAGGGCTTGGCGGTGCCCATCAGGTCCTTGGAGGCAACGTCGGTGATCTTGCCGTCCTGGTAGTATCGGGCGGCGTTTCGCAGGGCGAGGAGGACACCACGGGAAGACCAAGAGAACTTGTATCCGAGGGGGTTGCCAGAGACCTCAGGGGCGGGGAGACCACCGCAGTAGCTGAGGAAAGACAGAATCTTTCCACCCTCGGCGTGGACCTCCTCGATCGTCTTGACGGCGTACAGGTGGTCAACTAGATACGATGATTAGCAGGCTGTTCCATGGTAAAAAGTCACTAGATCTTGATGGCAACATACCACCAGGGTCAACCTAAAGAAACAATCAGTGTCAATTCTTGTATGCGTTGATGGCTGTGTGTCAAACTTACGCCAATCTCGTTCATGACGGTGATACCAGCAGCCTTGGCCTCCTCGTCAAGCTCCATCATGGCAGGAGAGACGTAGCTAGTGGTGACAACATTCTTCTTGTTGCGGATGGCAGACTTGATGACGAGAGCGTGGAAAGTGTAAGGGATCAAGCTGATGACAAGGTCATGCTTGGCAACTTCGGCATCGAGGGCCTTGTCGTCGTTGACGTCGAGCGAGATCGGGGTCGCGAGGTTGACACCCTCGGAGAGCTTCTTGGCGGTCTCGAGGGTTCGGCAGGCTACAGGAGGTCAGCATAAAGATAACAGACATGCATTGAGCTTCCTGGTCGTCCAGAGCTCGAAAAAGCCCAAGTCAAGAGTGAAGCCCAAAATCGGACGAGGTTACCCACCAACAGTGACGGGAATGCCGCTCTGGGTCAACACGTCCAGAGTAGGACGCGTGACAAAGCCCGCACCGAGCATAAGAACAGATCTTTAACCCATCGTCAGTTCTGTAAGTTTACACACCAAAAAGAATACTCACTGCTGTGCCATCTTGATATTTTTCGTGTACCGTGTTATGGTTTGTGATGACTCCAAACTCAAGAATCTACCCCGCCAAAAATTTTAGCTACGTGCTTCAGAGTTTGTTGGCGGGGTCATTCAATGCCAATTCCGATAACGGCCACTGGCCAGCTGAGATGAGATGAGCTCAGCATGGCTCGAGTCGGCTTTAGGATGAGGCCTCACCAGCCACGTCGGAACCCAGCCACATGCAGCGCCACGGCGGCTAGCGCCTCTTCCCAAATTTCAAACTTGCTCTCCAGCCTCCTTCCCGATTATGATGTAAGGAGCGGCGGGGCACAACGGGACGGCGCACATACCCACGCAGGGCTGGGAGAACGGGCGGGGCCGGGGTTGATCGATCGGCGCTGTGCGGCCAATAGGAGGGCGTCACACGGCGTGTGCCACATGTCTAACAGGGATTAGAGAGGCTCTAGCTTCCCTGTACCTTTTTAGTGCCGCCGGCACTCTGTTCGAGACAACGGTCTCTTTCTTTTTGCTTTCACAGTAACTGCATGCATCACCGCTGCCGACAGTCAAAGGTAAGCGTCAACACTGGAACCTTGGTGCAGGTTAGTGAGGGAAGCGGTTTTTCTCAGGCTTTTCATTTTGGGACCAAGTTTTTTGTTTTGTTTTTTTGTTTGTTGATTTCTTTATTTGTTTGTTTGTTTCGGCTACTAGCACGGCACGGCCGGCTGTGCCTTCCTAGTTCTCTGTGCTATCTTGCACGGGTATCCTCGCCTGATTCTATGAATCTCAAAAAATTCAGCGCTTGTTCCCATGCCCATTTCCACCCAAAAAAGTACAACATTCGTTTGCGCCATTTCCGTTCCGAGATCCGTAGTTTTCCGTCTACCATCCCAAAGGCCGTTTCCCGGGCCTGTAATAACACCATATTTAATTGTACATTTCCCAGGTCGTAATTCATGCAAAAGTTGCAGTCAAGCTCGTTGGTGGCTCATGTCATCAGACTGAGCTCGTCTTGGAAGTGTCCTGTCCCACTTCCTCGTCGTCGTCTTCATCCTCCTCGTCTGACTTGGGAGGCTCCCAAGTTTCCTCGAGCTTAAGGCCCTTGCCTCGGGGCTCGTTCCCTCTGAATGTTGATCCAAGCAGGGAAGAAACCGTAGATCGATAGTTGTTAAGCTGAGGGTCTTCCTCATACTTGTCGGGGGCGTCGTAAAGGCCCATGCCAACAAGAATCTCACCCTCCTCCTCCAGAGGCTCCTCAAGTGCCTGGTAGGGGATGTCACCAGACACAGCCGGTTGAGATAGTTCGGCCTGGGGAAGAGTCTCGGGTGTGGGTGGGGTTGTAGCGTTGAAGCCATGCATGATGAAGCTGTTCCAGTCCCATCCATTTCCATAGGCCGTGTTGTCGTTGGGTGCAGAGGCTTCTGTAGAAACCTGACGTGTGTCCATGCCTGAGCAAGAGGCCGGTGACTGCTGAGCCATCGAGGTACCCTGGTAAGGGTAGTATGGCAGGTTATCGGCAGTCTGGTATGGTAGTGAGAGGTGCGAGAAAGCCAAGGGGGATGTGTCGCAGGAGGT